TCGATCTATCCACCTGGTTTTTGGTCTTCCACGTTGTCTTTTACCTACTATACAGTCATTCATTGTATAAAAGCTTTATATCATGAGAATTTGTTTACTATTGTCGGTAACCACATCTTTATTGGTATTGTTCCTTCACCCGTTAGTAATATAATCCCAGGTCGCGCTGGTTACCGTGCGGAGTATTTTTCTCTCAAATCGTTTAATACTTCTTTCAAGAGTGCTGGTTAGTATCCATATCTCGCAGCCGTAAATCAGAACTGGCTTTATCATAGCATTGTACACCCTTAATTTAAGAAAGCGTTTATAATACGCTGGTCTATTTCCGAACGTTGGTCCTTCATGGAGAATAATGTGGACCCGATATATTTCATCTACCGATCTAAATGGGAAAGATTTTCCTTCTACTCAGATCCTATTATTGGGAATTATAAAGAAATGAATGATAACTAAATAGTGCCTATGTTGTGATTATTTTCTTCATTATTGGCCTAAAGGCGGATGGATACATATGATTCGCAGTATAGGCGGGAGAAGGGTGGCGGCCCACGCGGGAGGGGTGAGGCAAGGTCATTGCCTCCCACGCGAGGGCCTACGCCACCCGCCATATGTCTGCGCTCCTTCGCTCCTCGACCGCTACGGTAGCCACCCACTCTATGCTAATATGTAATACATTAAATAATATATCTTTATGAATAAATTCAAACAACTCCTAAAAATAGGGCAGCCGATAACCAAGACCAAGTCGTACTTTGATGGAGGCCATCTTTTTGAGTGGTGACTTTAACGGGCGGGTATGCTGACACAATGCTATGCGAATACATTAATCGCATATGATCGCATATTGCTTATTTTCAAAGTGAACTAATCGATTTATTTGGAAATAGAGATAGGTATCGATTCCTATGTAAAAATAAACAACGAATTAGTGTTGCCCAAATGCGAGACCGAGGCAAGTCTTGGTCTTGCAAATTCAGTCTTGGTCATGGTCTTGGTCTTGCGCAAGAGTCTCGCAGTTACTTTATTAGCTTATTACTACACAGATATTACTGTAATTTTTTAGATAGGAGAAACATAACTAAGCCAGAATGAAAAATTAAAGGAATTAAATGCAAAAGTATATTGGTTATACCAATTACTAAGATTGTCAAGTATTAGTAACTATTTTGCCATAATTTTTATATTAAAAAATCGATTTTTTTTACCAGTCCTGGTCTTGGTCTTGCAACAGTTAGGCGGGCTTGGTCTGGGTCTTGCAAAGTTCAAGACCAAGACCGATTTTGGGCAAAACTACAATGAATCCACAGGTGCATTTTTTTTTTCAAAAACGAACCTAAATATTTAAAAAATGTTTATTCTCAAAATCGAATTCTTTTCAAGGAATGTAAATGCGATACTTGCATTTCTGTATTTTTAAACACATAATTCATTAAAAGCTTTATTTTTCTGTACCATTATTGTAAAAAAAAAAAAAGTTAAATGTACATAGTACAATTTTAATTACCTATCTTCCTCCGAATCATACAAACTTTTTAATCGCCATCCCGAACCCCAATCAACTTTTTTTTTTTCTAAAAAGGGCCTCGTAGTTTAATTCTTTCCAATTGCGGCCGTATTTAAGTTTCAATATTATTTCATTACTCTTAAAATAACCAAGTTTTTCGGAAATATGTTATACAATTAAATAATTTTTTTATACATTGTAATCTTTGCAAATGACCATATTTACAAAGAGATATGAAAATGATGATTATGTGAAAAATTTAAAGTTGCACGTTATAAAAGTTATTAAAAAAACATTTAATCTAAATTTCCCTTAAATAACTATTTAAATAGACACATAAAATCCTCCTCACCCCAAAACATTATAATACAATGAATAAATTCATAATGAGCATATAATTTAAATATAATCTTTTAATAATTCCGAGATTAGAAAAACTTAATTTTTTTGTGAAATTAATTTATAATGGTTAGTGAAGATTCATTTATATATAAAATCAATCATATTAAACACACTTTGAATTTCAAAAATGTATAATAGCAACTTTGACGTCATTAACAATTCAAATAGAATTTATAAAATAAAAATGCATAACAAATTAACAAAATAAATTAATTTAAAAATAAAAATTAATTAAGTTTGATAAAAGAATACAAATAATTTAAAATAGACAAAAGAATACATAGAAAGTGAGTAATGTATATTATCTTATAGGCTAGAAATAATAGTCGAAAGGCTATGTGATTCTGAAAATAGGTGTAAATGTACAAAGTTCTGTTCTCAGTTAAATAAATTTTAAGTAAAAATGACAATATATATATTTTTTTTTAAGATTTTAGACAAAATCTTATTTTGCTAGAAATTTATATTTATTTAAGCATTAAGCAGTAATTTTGTTTTTTTAATGAATTTTATAAGTAGATGATATCTTTCTCGGTTTTTTTATTTTATTGTATTAACAATATTAAACGCTGACACCTAGAAATATTTCCTCCTCTCATTGCTAAACCGCTTACAGTATATCGCTAAATATAGTGGATCCTCGACTTCGTCACATAACTCACACTTTGGTATCGTTTTTATTTTTATCCAATTTAAGAATTTATTTGTATTGCCATGGTCCTCAACCTAATTCGATTTATCACATCACTTCTTTATAGTAAACACGAATAATTTCCTAGGCTGATTCTAAGAATGAGGTAAAACCTCTAAACGTTGATGATGTGTGAAATAATAAAAAATAAAAGGAAGATAAAGTTCAAAATATGATTAATCTCATTATTTTTATTTATTTATTTCACTATTAATCTCCCTTCTAACATAATGTTCCTCAACCTTGGAAATTTTCTTGGAGGACATTCGTATAATTACAGCCCCCTGAATACCATGACTTTTAATCTGGATGGTATATAGATTAAATAATGGCTCAATACATTATTATGATTTTAAAAGATCGCCTTCATCTCCAATATGACAAAAAAATTACTAAATTTTTATATAAATCATAAATTAATTGTATGTTTCTAAAAAAAAAAAAAAATTATTGTATATGTAATAGCTGCATCCCTTTAGGAGCACCATTCAACGAATTCAACAAGATGTAACAATGGCTAATGAAATGATAATTTTTCTTTCCATTTAAAATAAAGATATGATTTGAATTAAAATTTGATAATTAAATTGCATGATCATTTTATACATTTGTGAAAAAAATAAAAATGTATGACAATACATTCTATTTTACAAATTAATAATCAAATGTCAGGAAACAATATTCCATCTAAAATATTCAGTAGATAGAAAAATATGGTGTATAAACATGAGAGGATGTCTTCATTCCAATGAGATACTTCAAAATAAATTTAATTAAAATGAAATAATAAGACACAATTAATAAATGATTTATTACAATTATTTTTTATTTTATTTTTTTGTCAGTAAAGACATGACTTTCTTGATGGATGTAAAAATACTAGAACAAAACGTCTTAAATTGCGTGCAGAATATTCCAGTTAATCTTATATTAGCATATTTTGTTGTAGTTTTAAATGAGTTACAATAATAAATAAAATATCATACACCCCAACTTATATTGAAACGTTAAAAGTATAAACATAATTTTCTTAAATTCATACATTGGTATTATTAACCCTCTCATCATGCCATTTCTCAAATCTGTACAGTTCTGTTCAAAATTCAAAATATTCTACTCAACGAGACGGTAGCTAAAATTAAGCTTATTATTTATTAAAGTGATAAGAACATCTTGAATTGAATATCTACTTATCACTCATTTATAAAAAAAAGGTTTTTAGTGACTGTCATATTTTATTTTCCCATCTCAAATTAAAATGCTGGGGTTTTCTCTATGGTATAATTTTGTGTTTAGTGGCCGTGTAATATTTTATTTTTCAATCTCAACAAATTAAAAATAAAAGATAAAGATATGAAATTTATTTTTTCCTGCTTAAATTATATTGAAATAAAGTGCCACTTCCGGTTAGCCGATTTTGACGAAAAGGTTGCTGTAACATCTGAGGTATATACAAACCTTAAACATACTTTTCGTTTTTGAGCTAGACTGGCCACATGCAAACACACACATACAGACTATTTTGCGGGACTTGATTATTTGGACTCAGGAGACCTCGTAATACGTTATTCCGTTGAAAACTCAGAGGAAGAACAAATACAGCTACATAATATATATAGATTATAGTCATACAATTTGAGTAACGAGTAGCAACAATTAAATGAAAAGTCGTATAATTTGTAAAAAGGGAGGTACCCTCTTGTTATTTTAAAAAATAGTTTTAATATATAAAAGATAAATTAAAAGAAACACCTACTATTTCAATTTAATTATGAACCATAGTTGAATGAAGTTGGAAACAACAAAGATAGTTCTTTTCAGAAGGCAATTAGTTCAGGAATTCAATTTTCCAATTGATAACAAAGGAATAGGTCACTTCATTTTTTTTTTTCCTTCAACAATAAACAACACTTGAACATATCCTGTTTATACTAAAAATTTATTTTATTTTATTTAAAAAAAAAAAAGAAATGTTAATCGACGAAATTTAAAACTTTCACTTATTACCGATGGTCGATTCTTATCAACGATGCCATTAGATAACCTAGGAGGAACATTTGAGTGCGTTCTTTATCAAACAGGTCTTATTTTTATTTTATTTGTTTTAAATGAAGGTGTGTGGTAAACATGATTAATGTATGGTGGCAAACATGATTGAGATATGTTTTGATCCGGTAATGTCAACCAAGTGAGAATATTATACCTGATATATCAAGTATAATATTTCAAATCTATACATTTCACTAAACAAAATGTTTTTAATTATAAATCAAAAAGATATTTGCACGATTTTTGAATTTTGTCTAGATTACAATATCATTGAAGGCTATTTATTAATTATATTTACCAGATCATAAACAAAATTATATATAATAAAGTATATATATATAATTGATTATTTACCTGTGTTTACTTGTCCAATAATCCCAAAGAAAAAAAATTAAAATAATAAAGAAGGGAGGCTAAAGCTGGCACTTGATATTATTGAGGAACCTAAAATTACACTGACTAAAATCAGACTGCATTCCATAAACACGCAAAAAATAATTATTTAACACTTGGACTATCCGTAATAAGAAATTATAAGAGCGTATATTCTCGACATGTTCCGACTATCGCTCAAGTAAACACAACGACCAGCCACTTTCACTCTTCGGCTTGGACTGCAGGAATCTGGCGGCTTCACTGCTACACTAGCGCCCTCTAGGCATCTTCAAACGGCCTCTTCTTAAATTCCCTCCTTTTTAATAAATATTTATACTTTATTATTTATACTGAATATTTATTATTAGCATTATTATTACTGCTATTTTATTAAAGAATAATAACAATTATTAGAGATGAAGAAGTCTGGTTATGGCGACAAAAGCTCTGTAATACCAACAGAAAAAAAAATAATAATCATTATAATATAATTATCATAATATAAATAATACAAAACTCGTTTTGCTGATATAAAAACACAGAACATTCCCAAAATTTCAAATAATGGTTTTAATCTTACGATGTCAGAGTGTGTTAGTAATAAGACGGGCAGCTAGGAATAAAAACACATTAATATGACTTGAATTACATCTATTGTGTTGTAGATGTAAATGGGACAACTTAAAACCTAGGAGTTTAATTTATAACAATGACCAGATTCTGCACTCAACTCATGAATGTCTGCAGCTGTAGCGCTCTAACTAATCCTTTGCTGGTTACCAGTATTGCTCACCAGTAAAGTGGATGAGGGAGAAGCGCAGGGATCTCCTAAGCCTCACTCTTCCCTTCACATGTAGGAGGACAAGATTGGTTCGGAGTTTCCCTGGCTGATTGTAAATAGTGTACAAAGGTATTCTTGTATCTGAGATGTTTATTTTACTTTTATTACTATTTTTACTTACTTATGTATATATATATTTTTTTCTTTTGTTCTTTTTTTATCTTATTCTTTTGTTGTTACTTTATTTATTTATGTTTCTGTATATATGGTATGAATGTACTCTCTGAACTCTATTATAAATGTCCTTAACTGAAACAGATTGTAATATTTCTCAATAAAAATGTTTAAAACTGTGTGGTGTATGATGGCCTCTCGGTGGAGCTCCGTGATAGACTGAAAAGATTAATGAATAGCTGCGTAAGATTTGTTATCGGTGCCCCGAGGTACTCCCATGTTTCTCACCACTACACTGAGTTAAGGTGGTTCTTCCCCTCCTTTAGAAGACAATATTTCCTAGGTATGTTCCTCTATCAAATCATTAACAACCATCGTCCTTCTTACGCCTATAACCTTCTCCAATTCAAGTCCTCAGTCCATTCCCTTTCAACAAGATCTCGACCTTCCGACCTCTACATCCCTTCGCACAGATCTGCCTCATTTCAGAATTCCTTTATAGCTCGCGCTGTCAATTTCTCGAATTCTCTACCTATCAAAATTCGGCATTCCCCCTCTATATCCACATTCAAATCCCTCCTATTCCAATTCCTATCCCAAAAACAGTCAGATACTTGCTAAACTATCGATATTATACATTTCTAGTCATCATCAAACGATAGTGCTATTCTATACTGTGAACTTCACTAGGGATATTACAATATTTTCCGGCTCTTAATGCCACTGACCGCATATATTGTTTGTTTTTTTATTTTTATTTTTATTATTATTTTTTATTGGTATATAATTAAATCTGTACCTCTAGCATTTGACAATGATGAGTCTACATATTAATCATTATTTAAAGACACTGATATTTTATATTGTCAGCTTTGTCTTTTCTTTGTTAGCAGAAACACACCTCGTTATAAAGAAGAACTCAATGTATTTTTTATTATTTTATTTTTCAAAAGAGTATAATCATAATTTTTCCTACTGTACATAATCTTAAGTGTTTTATCATAGTTTTAAGTGTTTTGTATATAGATTTTTTTTTTATATATATATATATATATATATATATAGCTTGTTTAACTAATATTTTCTTTACTTTCTCTTTTTTATTATTGTTTTATTTTGGCCAGATGTAGTATTTTAATTACGTTCTATTTTGTTATTCTAAAGGGACTTTGTCCCAGAATAAAGTTATTTTCTATTTCTATATTTTCTATTTCTAAAAAAAAAAAAGTAATTTAATAAATAATAAGAAAAAGATTAATAATAATGTGCAATGCTTACGATAAGTTTCGATACAATAAGTCTTCCTGCAGAGAAAAAAGACAACAATAACGACTCCTGGGTCTTCAAGTAGTATAAAACTTTTAAAAACTTATAATTTATATAAATATAACATAATAAATTCATAACTATAATAATAATTGATTATAGGTCTATAAGCCCTAGAATTTCAATCCTGGTTTATATTAAAATGAACTGCACAAAACTAAAACTTTAAATGCAAAAAAATTTGTTTAAAAACGTAAATATAATAGGAAAAATATTAAATTCGAAATATCGAGACCATATTTTATCACAATAGAGACCAAGAATTTCTTTTTTCAAAATATTTGATTCCATTATTAATAAAAAAGTGAAAAATAATTATTTGAGGGATTTCTTCTTACAGAGTTGGCCTTGGCCTCACAACAGTAAAATAAAAATAGTATTTAAAAAAATTATAGAAAGCATAATAAAATCACAATTTAAAAACATAAATAAATTGAAAAAACAACAACAATAAAAGGCAGTATTAAATTGCTAATAGATAATTTATCTTTGGAAATGAATTAACTAACTAAAATTATTTACATCAAAATGAAATAGATAACCGTTGTTCATACAATCCAAAATGATGAAAAACACATATATGTACATATCTTCAAAATATAAGTAAATTGATATGTCTTAATTTTGTCGCCATTCTAAAAGGTAAAAAGATAATATTTTTCTTATGTTTAGATCAGTCATTTTCAAATGTAGCATAAAATACTGGGCATATTATTATTTTATATATATATCTACTATTCAATATAAAAAGCATTTTTATTTATAAGCACCCTATATCACGAAAAAACAAAAAAAAAGGTACTGTAACCTAACTATTACAATAGGCAATGCTGGTACACTACTTCCAAAAAATGTATGCCTCCAATGAATGAAATATAATCTGACATTATATTGTTATATGACCTCATTTTTATCATGAAATGCTATGAAATACCAATATTGAGTGGTAGAAATATTTTAACAGTTACTCATTGCACCGTGGAATTGACCATATGGTAAATCTTAAATAATTTAAAAATTACTTTATTTTGTTCAAACCATAAATGAAATGTAAGTTGGACATATTTTAAATTTAAACCAGGACACTATTAGGCCTTAAGAAAAAATTATTTGGTTGGTTAAACTATCAAAATTATTTTTTTTAAAATGAATTTGCATATAATATTATATTTTATAAAGAATATTAATAATTAAAAATAAACCTTAGCCATTAAAATCCATACTATATATATTATAGGAGATGAACAGACAGCATCCACTGCTATGTTTTATCCCCACATTAGGGATGACACTAAAGCTGTTATGTTTTGGAGTAGACATTACTTGGGAAGCCACTGAATAATTCTGTGCAGTAATTAACCAAAAATATTCAATATAAATTAATAATAACAATTATTAAAAGGAATTTGAATCCATAATATACTGATTGGTTCAGGATTAATGAATTGAATTTCTTTTCTCAAAGACTGATTTGTGTTTATCATGCTTTCTAATTACCAACATTACCTGTGATCATCCTGATATAAATGGATGGAAGAATTAAAATAACTTTTACTAAAAAACTTATTTTATTTCTATGTTTAATAAACTGTATATACAAATGACATAGAAATCTTGATGTGCAAATACAGTAATCAAAATAAAACTATAATCTAATCAATTTAATAATGACTTTGTGAAGGTATTATTTCAGATAGACTGTTTTGAGAATATTGTCATGAAATATTACTAAATCAATTATTGGGAATTAAAACTTATTTGAGGTTCTAAATATGATGTGGTTAGGTTGTGTTGGTCATCCCATTACTGCATCTACTGGTTGAACCTCCTCTTGTCCAGTCAAAGCCCAGGTTCAAACTCTGCCAAGACGCCCATCTCCCCAATCTGTGTAGAAGAAGCTGTATCTGCAGTCCCCAAGGACGGAAAAAAACTTAACCTCAAGCTTTTCTATCCATGAGATTTTATACAAATATTCAGGGTGGGGCAAGGATGATTTTGATTGTTCCTCAACATCAGCTGACACATATCATTTTAACTTGCACACATATAAATTGCTAACTCGAACAAAAATTCTCAGGTAAGGTGCAGGTATATACGTAAAGATATCAGATAAAGTGCATACGGTGTTTTTGTGATGTCGGCAGGCGGCTTCTTTCAACTTTTCCTTTCTTTTCAGCACCTCACAATAAACTTAAAAGATTATTTGCTATGTTCAATGCATAGCACCATGCTCAACAACCAGCTTTATTCCCAAAAACAATGAAAACAAAATCTGATGTGCACAACTTTCATTTACCTTTCTACTTTGAATAGAAATTATTTTCTGGCAATGTTGAGCAATTATGAAATTTTTGAAGGGCACTTTTAACGTAGATATAGCTTGAAGATTATAGCTAACAAATCATACCATGATTAATAGTGTCAATGGTAGACAATAATAACCTTGGTACTCCATTCGTACTAATTGTATCGGTTTACTAAAATGAAATTATGGCATTTTCATTGCCTGCCATAGATAGGTCAAAAGTTGTCAAACTAATTTTAAGTGTATAATGTTTGGATTACACAAAGGCAAAATTCATCAAATTATTCACTATAAAAAAAAACAAACATATCACATACCAAAAACATAATAAACTTCCATTGAACTAAATATATTAAATATCCAAACATATCTATAATATATTATAACAACCATTATACATAAATAATAACTAAAACACTAATAATAATAAACAACCAATTCCAAACTTTAATACACACTTCCCAATCCATAAAATAATCCAAAAAACAACAAAAAATAACCAACCAACCAAAACCCCATTATATTGAAACAAAATCATTATACAAACCTTTACCACATATAATACCTAAACTCCCCACAAATAAAACCAACAACAACAAAAACAAAACAACACACACTTTAACAAAAATAAAATATTAAAAAAACAAACAACACATCATTCCATTCTCTATTAATATAAAAATCATCATACACCAAACCTTCCATTCAAATACTACCAACAAAACACCATTTACACACTTATACAATTAACCAAAAACATACCACTTAAAACAATACTACAATTAACTAAAATCAACCACAATATATAATTAACCAACAACCCAACCCACCCAACACTCATCCTAAAAAACTTACTTCCATAATCAAACCCAACTAAAAACCCCATACCTTTACAACAAATTTACAAATACCACAATTACACAACATAATACCATTAAACCACTATCACCACAACCTTTATTAAACCTTATAATTAAACAATAACAATATACAATCCAAATAACACCACTAACCTAAACCCTAAATAATAAAAACCATCCACCATATCATACACCACCCCTCCACCCCCACACAACCACCACCATAAAAAACATAAACTAACAACAAAACTAATAATCTACTACCTTTTCTCACAACCAAATTACTTCAATCTAACAATCTCATACAATCTACAAACTTAAATAAAACACTTCTACCCCAACCCCCATAAATCATATCCCAAACCCTATCTAAACCAACTCATAAACACTAAATTAACACATAAAAAAAAAACAACAACACTACACATCACTACTTAAAACCCACATACCCAATCTCCATACATATACTAAATTTTCTTTTTAAATTCTATCTTCATAAATGCAAGGGGAGTAAAAGTAAATTCCTGGAATATGTGTTATTTCATATACAACACTTATTGAAGCACTTGATTTAAAAAAAAAAAAAAAACAGTTGAAAATCTTGAAAAGAGAAAACCAATTAAAGATTGGTGCCATGGGTAATGAGTAATAACTTCAAAACACTCTGACATTTTTCATTACAAATCTTGAAGTAAATAATCATTAATTGTTTAGGAGCCAATACTTTCATTTCGCAATTAAAGTTCGACTTTAATAACTAGTGTGCTTTTATTTTAATTGATAGATTGCTTTTATATTCTCTTCATATGATACAGCCAGATATAACTTTAATATTATATAACAAGCTAGATATACAGTAAATATTAAAGAGAATTAAGGTAATTTAGATAAAATTAATGTTTCTTTTTTCATAAAATATTTATTTTATAATAAAATAATTTTGGCAATGGTTATACATAAGTACATTAACATTTATTACAAACTAACCAAAAATATAATACAATTTTGTTACAAAATTTAAGTAGATTAAATAAAAATTATATTAATTTGATTTGGGTGGACTGATGATTAATCACTTATTATGAGGAAAAAATGCTTAAAACTCATTTAGAGCTATAACAATATCAAATGCAAGATAAATAATTTTTCACTACATACTTCTATAAATCTACAAACAATAAATATCTTTGTACTAATTAACAATAGAATGTATGTTGGCAATATTTTCTTAATTATTATCCTTTTCATAAAAATTAAAAAACTTATGTTCTATAATTTTACAATGCTCGATAAGATTAGGGTAACCCCTAACAATACAAGCGAACCTGTTGCTCGGAAGAGGTGTCGTAATTATAGTGAAAATGTGACCAAACACCAACGCATCTAATTCACATGGCCTGTAAAATAAGAATTTAAAAAATCAACTAACAGAACAGTCAATTTATAGCATCTGAATATTCCATTTGGAGCAACATAAATAACGCTAAACAAACTTCATGCACTTTAATATAAAAGAGGAAAAGAATAACAAATTCAGTTTAGAATATCATTGTTCTACCTTCTGTTGAAAAATAAATAAATAAATAAAAGTATTACCAACTGGTATTTTATGTTACTAAAAACTCTGTGGCGTCTCTTCTTGAGTTTTTTTTCTAATGCTAATAATTTATCAAGAGCACATTGGCATGAATACTTGGACATGGGTCTAATATTTTTTGATTCAGTATTACCAAAAAAAAGTTCAATTTTTTCATTACACTAGGTCATATACTTGATATTTCACTTTAAGTTGGTCATCACCATCGTTGTATGTTTATTTTAATTCTGCTGATCTTAAGTCATCATCATACAACAATTACATCTTATTTATTTTATTTACTACTTATTTCTCTGATGTACCTATATTACTTAATATTAGATTTTATTTCTTCATCACTTAATTGTTTATTACTCAGTTTATTTCATAATCTCATTATTTTAACTTTGTTACCCTTCACTTTATTAATTTCGATAATAGCTTATTTATATTTTCGTAACATATCATTACATATAATACTCGTACATTATAATTTTCATTCACTTCTTATTAGTAGACAATTGTGTTGAGCTGTTCGAAGTATTTTTAATTACTTATATGTACGTCAATTTAGAGCTATTAGATTAGATTATTGTCTGAAATCAAATGAAGAATACAAATTTCCACTTTATAACAAAAGTAAGAATAAACATTCTTGTCTGGAAGTATTGAAAATAATTTTTTAATAGTAACAACTCATGTCTTTAACAAAGATTTTCGGGAGTAACTCACTTTTGGAATTTAATACACACAGAATCAGCAATTATCACTGCAAATACACAAAATACTAATCACTCTTTCACGAAAGACAAAAACTGACAGAGTGATAAAGACCAGCATTTCAGAGAGCTTAAGTATTTTTGGAAATCATTTGAATAAAATGAGACAAAAAATGATAAAATTTGATCATGAGGAGTTTACTCATTATTTCCCATTAAATTGACATAATTAAATATTCGTTTTAGCGTATAAACGTGTCTTTAACTTATTTCTTTTAAGTTAGATCTTTTATATTAACTTAAATCTTTTATTCAGCAAATCAAATTTTCTTAGTTTAGATTGAAAAAAAAAAAAGATCTATTTTAGCACAAAATTGCAAAATAGATAAAAAAAAAGATCCTATAGGATTTTGTATTTTAAATCTACTACTCAAGATTTTGTTTTTCAACACCTTAATATTTCTATATACCACCACTTCTATTACAAAATCCAAATAAATAAACTATCTTCTACAGAAAAAGTAATTTATATTTTAATATAATTGTGATTCTGGATCAGATATAGCTCCTAGTTCCATGTCTTGAGGTGTTTTTCCAAAAAGAGAATCATATATCATGTTCTCATCATTGACAAGACAAGAATAATCTTGTATCTGTTGAGTAGTTTCATCTTTCCAAAGCTTATCCTCATCGTCAGATTCTTCATAGACGAATTCATCTAAATCTGAATCACCTACTGCTTCTTTTTGAGCGTTTTGACGAATGAAAGCTTTATGAAGCACAGGATTTTCTATATTGTCTTTTATGGCAACTAAATTCATAATTTGCCTGCAGTGTCTCATAAGGGTTTTATTATTTCTAACGATATCGGCCAATTTCAAACCAGGTGGGAACCCAGGGACAGTTAATATAGAAAAAATATTTCCAAATACCAGGGCGTCTAACTCAGTTGGACTGAAAAAAAAAAAACTCATGGTAATATTATTAATTACACAATAAAATAGAGGAATGGCAAAAATGAATAACTTAAACAAAATGACAACTACCAATAGGCTAGGCTTTCCTTTTTTTTTCTCTACTAAAACTTTTTTTAAATTAAAGTTTATCACCTTATAGCCTATAGGATTTTTTCCCGGGCCAGGGGAAAGGGCGAGGAAATCATGCAGAGTTAAAAGTCCCACTAGCACCAGGATTTGAACTCATAATCTTTGGTTTATCGTTAGGTTGCCAAGGCAATGAGTGTTTTACACAACACATTAGCCTGCTGGGGCTAGAGAAAAGAATAATTTGTTGAAATAAAACTCTATCATAGATTAAATAATTTAACCATTCATTAAATGCTTTCTTCTATATATCTGTGTCTATTGTTTGTGTCCATTCTTATTTATTTGTTGTATTACATACCAACAACAGGTTATGGAATTTTTGGACAGCTTGAACATTATTATTCCTCATATCTAGCTTGAACATTATTATTCCTTATTTTTAAATCCAACAAAAGAACTTCATTGTACCAAGATTAACTACGAATATGTTTTCTCTAATCAAATCTAGCACACTTAAGAGGAACATAGTTAAATTTTAGAGTTCATTATGAAAATTTTTATGGTATAATAAACTCTTAAGAGAGTTTACAAACAGTAAATAATTTATTTTGTTCTTAGAAGGACCCAACACAAAACATGAGATAGTTTGTTAAATATTTACACATAATCTACGGGTTGATAGTAATAATAAGCAAATAAGATAAATATGAAAGCCAACAATGGACTAGAATACTCTATTAGGTTGTGAGGGGCTAAATAACTATAAATGTTATGGCTATTAAGAAACAAATCTTACTTTTCACCAAAAAAGAATCTTTCTTTTCCTAATCTTTCACTGAGTGCATTACAAGCCCTTTCAACTTCTTCATAGACCTAGAAAATATATTATATTCAACATCATAAAATTAGACAGAAACAGCAAGAACAAAGAGTGGATTTCATAATGGAAAATACCACACAATATAAAATTGAATAAAGTAAAGAGGTAAGTGTAATTATAATTACAATTACTTGACATCAAGAAGTAATTTTAATTTAAGGTATCAATAACAGTTCCGCATAAAATTGATAGAAATAATTAAATACCAATGTAATTAGTTATTGCCCGACTCTGACACTACCCAACCCTATCTTCCTGTAATGACGTCTCTATTCCTGAGCCATTTTAACAGATCCCATTATTAAAACTTATAAAACTAAATAATATAAATAAATCGAATTCTTAACTGCACAAAGCACAACATTTTTTAAATTAAATTGTTTAGAAAAAAAAATGTTTTCTTAAAATTAGATGCAATACAGTATAATACACTTGCAGTGCACAATTTGCAAAAACACAGAGGTCCCACTTTATTTCTATAATTTAATAATGCATACATGTAAGTAAAATAAATCACAGATTCTTAGCTTTCCATAATTACCAATATAGACAAGAAATAATTAAAATCTTGTTTCACTACAATAAATACCTTGTCCAGAGATTTCCTGTACCAACCGAGAGCATTAAGCCGCTTAGTAACAGATTGTCTCTTCAAGAATGACAAAATGTGATTAAGTGGAAAAGGATGTACAGAGCCATATCTTGGTTTAGTGACATTCGAATATGTTTCGTTTTCTACCCAAGTTATGTAATTCTAAAACAAATATAAAAAAAAAAAGCATATCAACATACACATATACAAACAAGATATTTAAAAAATATTTACTTTTCTCCTTGAAGGAGTTTAGAAAAATATTTAAATTTCAAATTGACTTCTCCATAGCAAATTGAAGTGTCTATCCCTCGGCCTAATTATATTTCTAATGATTTGTTATAAACACCCAACAACTTTACACCCCTCTGGTAATCACTGGGATCCTAAACTATTGCTGAGTTAATAATGAGTTCGACAATAATATAAATTACTGATATATTTTAAAAAAATTAGAATAATAAAACATTAACAGAGTAAAAACAATGAACATTACTTTTAAAACAGTTTCTTGCTCTAATCCTGATAACAGGACATTGTTAATTTTGAAATAATATGATTTGAAAGAATAAATTAAAACAATAAAGCATTGCCATAGAACAAAAATTTGGTACAACCCTCTTCTTAGCAGAAATAAGTATTTTCAGACAAAGGGGAAGTGAAAGTAAAAATTATAGATGCTATAATTATTTATATTTCATTGTGGGTATATTTATTTGTATAAGTACCCTTATATATACAAATTTTAATATTTATTTTGGGGGCGAAGTGGCCAAATGGGCTAACATGTGTGCACAGCACCACGAATTCCCCGGCAACCAGATAACAAAGTTTTGAGATTGAAAGAAGAAACGAGTTCGCGTCCTGGTGCCAGAGGGAATTTTCAATTCCCCGCCCTCACCCTCCGGCCCAGGAAAATTCTGTATAGCCTAAAAAGGCGAGGTAGGGAAGAACATAAAAAAAAAAAAAATTAATATATATATATATATATCGCTATAATTTGTACAATTAAATATTAAATAATATCAACAATAGCATTTATGAAAACCACATATGTATATTTACATAATATTGTCAGAGTCCGTATTATATTAAGCTCATGTTACGTATGGAAGCCTGTTCTAATCCTTTAATTAATTATCAAATTCTTTTATGTTTAAGTATCTTTGATATTAGAGATCAATGTGAAATGGTGAACTGTTTCAAATAAAAAAAATTAAAGGTACTTTAGGGGTGTTTTCTAACCGGGCTTAAATGGCAAAATTAGCCATTTAAGCCCGGTTAGAAAACATCAATAAGAATAAAACCTATATTTTTTTTAAAACTGCTTAATTTCACACTAATGTAATGAATTTAATCAAAATCGCTCGAGCCATTTTACACATGGAGAAAATCGTAAAAATGTGTAAAGTCTTGAATATAAAGTACAACTTCCGGTAAATTGATTTTGACGAAAAAGTTGCTGTAACATCCCAAGTATATAAAAACCTCAAATATGCAATCTCACTTTCGTAGGACTTTTTGTTTTTGACTGTTAACACAAACGCATGCGAGCGAGCGAGCGCGCGCTCACACAAACAGACCATTTTGCGGGACTTGGTTATTTGGACTCAGAGGACCTCAAAACGTGTATTTCCTTTGAAAATTGAGGTTCAAACATTTTCAAGATCACAATACCTTACTTTCCTTTACTGTATATTTCATTTATAAGTAAGTGAAAGTAATAATGAAGCTTAATATTAACTGACAATGATAGCAGATAAAAAAAAAAAAATCATGACATGCAAATAATTCATTACTTCAGCATTTCCAAGAACAGTGTTGACTAAAGACATATAAGTTCTCATATCAGATCTTTGAGCCGGGTCTAAATGATCTGTAAGTGAAACACCCTGAAAACAGAAGTGGGAACTTAAAATAATGAAAACAATATATCCATAATATCATTATATATATTATCAAAATAATTATATACTTTGCTAGCCACAAAGTTAGTAATAGGTTCCAGATCAGACACCAAACAGGCTCCACATTTAATAAATGGAACACGTCCTAAAATAATAAAATAAAATGATAAAAATAGGCATATATGTATTATAGCTTTTAATGACATCAATTTAAATTTAACATAAAACTATGAATATAAGAAACAATAATGGTGAAGAAGTAGTTGATTGTAGATACTATGGTTGAGAAGTTAATAGTAGTAGGAATAGAGGGGAGGGGGAGGCAGTCAGTGAGAACACAAAAATAAAACATATTAATTTTATTTTGTTCTGACATTTTGGCCTATGTTTCAGACCTCTGTCAGGGCGAAAAAAAGACAAAATAATTTACATGTATGTAAACAGTGAATGGGAGTGGGGTAGCTCAGTGGTAGAGTACCAGTGGGGGGTTCGAACCCCGGCTCATGGCAGAAAATTTATTTAATTTAAAGTTGGCCATGGGGCGACCCTGGGTCGGAAGACCCTCCTGGGGCATATCCAGCATCTATAAAGTGGGTACCCTTAGTTAAAAAATTGATTAGGGGGGAAAACCTGGTGGTTGAGCGTGATATCGTTCTAATCACCACAAGCTTTTTTTTTTTTTTTTTTTTTTTTTTTTTTTTTTTTTTTTTTTTTTTTTTTTTTATGTGAACAGTGAAAAATGAAGTTATTAACTAGTGAATGGAAGATATGTAAAAACTATCATTTTCTTATAAATGTGATACTTTCCAATCACTGGTTATTAATTAAATTTTTTACTAATTACATATAAATTACTTCTGGTTGTTATCTTGTCTTTCCTCAGCCCTCAAACAATAGGAAACTATTTAATTTTCATTTGTGTTCTCAATGAACCCTGAAAACCTCCCAAAAACAAAAAAAAAAAAAATTATCCCACTACATTTAGTTAATACATACTTTGACATTTGAATCAATAGCAATAACATCATTTTAACTATGAATTAAAAATTAAGAACTTCAAAATTGCACTACACCAAATTAAGAAAATAAGGACAATTCCCTTTTTAATTAAATAAAAGTACATTTTCTTGTATATATCATCCTACAAATATGTGTCTGGCATTTTCTTTTATTATTTATATGTTTATTCTAGTATTAATTATCTACAATGAATATTTTTAAAAAGATTAAAAATTAAATCTGACATGGTATTAAATAAATAATCCCAACTTGGAAATTGTATTAACATCATAAATCATTACCAATTTAAGGTTATCATATGATAACATAAAAATATTTATAGAGTTATAATATGAAATATCTAATAATTTTTTTAATAAAGTGACAATTTTTCTTAATAATTAAGGCCAATGTCAAGGAGGTTAAGCAGATAAATAGAAATGACATCATAACTGTCATTCATTTGTGTCAAATCAATAACAACTGCAAAAAAGATAAATAAAAAAAAAAGAAGAAAAGAATTTCGGAGGCAATAATAAAAGCTTACCGTCAGCATTAATAATTCAAAAACTTAACAATAAAAATAAATTAGAACAGCAGTCAAAATAGCATGTAAATAATTTTTCTCAAAAATCTAAAACTTGTATACTTAAATTTAAACCTCAAATACTACCTGATGGTGACATATCTTCAGCATTGGCCTTATACTGAACAGTAAAATCCAATTGACACATTTTCAAAAATGCCTGAACAGCTAAGCAATTAGCCATATCAGGCAGTAATATTTGTTCCGTTTCATAAGGCTGGTATAATTTTACATCATCTGGCCAAGGTTCTTTGCCTAAAAGAGAATATAAAATAGTAGTGATTTCCTTAATATACAAAGAACAGAAACACATAAGAAAGCTAGCATAGGACATATCAGGCATAGGATCAAAGGATAATAGTAAACTTAGAGATCACTACACTCAAAGGATCATATTCTAAATTTTTAAAATATTAATAATTTTTAATTTAAAATATGTGCATAAAGGACAGTTTCCATTGTCAGTTACTAAATCATTTGTCTAACAAACCTCCCAACTCGCAATTAAATGAATCTGTAGTAAGAACTGAGGGCATGGTGAAAAATCTAGTAAATCAAAAAAATTCAAATTTCAGTTTCAATAACATCAGTTCAATATCCGTGCTTTTGTAACCTTCCAGGAATGTCACCACGGCTTTCTAGATATGATAATATGGAAATAATTTTAATTAAAATATAAAATACCTAGCCATACAGATTCAACATCTCCTCCATTTAAAAAAGCTACGCTATTTGTGTCCCAATTTTTCAATAACTCTTTTTTAATTTGTTCAAGGGTATTCGTCCCACTGAAGCTTTTCAATTTTGCTTCCACATCAATTTCAAGACTTACATTGCTACTTTCAATAGATAAATTCGAATTATTAGAACAAGAAGATAGACTTTTGTCCTTTTTATCTAGATTTGAAGAGTTTTTCATTTGAAATCTGAAATGTGGAAATAAAGGATTTTGACTTTATTGTACAAAGTGTACATAATAGTTATTAGCAATTGTTTTCATTATAAATTCATGTGAATTAGTCTATTTTACAAATTAATTTAATATTAGTCTCATATGATTCATTCAAAATGAATAAAAAATAATCATTATTTTTTATTCTTAAGTTGGTGTCAACACTGCTCTCTCAACTAGCCTTAACCCAGTCGGCCATTCGAACGTTGCACGTCTCAAGATGTCTAAGCGAGGTACAGTATCCAAATTCATCTCCATTTTACATCTATGATTTTTGTTTCATTTTGTCGAAATTTGTTTATTGTTTTTTTATTTGAAATGTATATACATAGTTTAGTCCGTCAAATTCGTTTTACATTGTTCATGTGTTGCTTTACTTTTGTTTGCAGGACGTGGTGGTTCCGCGGGAGCCAAATTCAGAATTTCTCTTGGTTTACCTGTGGGTGCAGTTATAAACTGTGCCGACAATACAGGTATGTAGAATTTTAATTAAATCGTATACATTGTTTCTGTATATCTTAGTTGTAACCTTAATTTTACGTTTTAGGTGCCAAGAATCTGTATGTTATTGCAGTCCAAGGCATCAAAGGTAGGCTTAATCGTTTGCCTGCTGCAGGGTCTGGTGATATGATAGTTGCCACAGTGAAAAAAGGAAAACCAGAACTCAGGAAAAAGGGTAATTTTTAAGTATAACTAAGTGCCATTAGTGATGACCACATGAGCTTATTGAACTAAGACTAAATGTTGTTAGATCTTTTCTTTTATCTTACTTTATGTTGTAACATTTAGATATTGTGAAGTAAGACCATACATTTTTTTAAAGGTTATGGGATTGAAAATTATTACTCCCTAAATTGCAGGTGTATAAGTTTATGGTGTTCAGTTGTCTCCCTACTCTTTCTGACACCTTTGTTTATGTTCAACTTTCTATGAACGGTGTGTTCAATGTAAACATTTCTCATGCTCATTTAGACACGGCATTTGTGAACCTTTTGTTTGATAATTGCTTATTTGAACATATTTATGTATGTAAAGTAGCAGTTGAAATGTTTACTGTGGATTTAATCATAGAAGTTAGTAATGGTTGTAGTCTTAACGTAATAGTACCTTAAAATAAAAATCTTTGTTTTCGTGCCTACATACAATGCTGCAAATGTAGCAAAATTAGAAATTTATTGGCTTTAATCATCATCTGATGAAATTTCTGTATTTAGAAACAGCTCTAATTTCACCTCTCTCAACATTTTGTCTATTGAGGTATTAGTAAACAAATCGTCCACACAGATTAGTTGTTGTAAACAATTTTTCGATCACACTTGTCCATGGCATGCTGAAAACAGTTGAATGTTATGTCAGTTCTTCCCCCACCACTCATTTCCCTATTTATTTTTTAAGAAACTCACATGTTCTCATGGAAGTGAATTTAGGATCATTATAACATAAGAAGCTAAGTAGTAGACAATTTTTTACTGCATTCCTTTTCTATTGTTAGTTTAACGTCGATAGGATCCTTGATTTCTATTTTTTTTTATTGATATTTACAAGTAAAAGTACATTCAGTCAATGTGAACAAAGGAATAAAATAGCATGAAATCACATGTTGAGAAACTACCCATTGGTAGCACTCTTAAGATTTCTATTTAAACTTTGATTTTTAAGTTAACATTTTTTAAAATTATTACTCCCTAAATTGCAGGTGTATAAGTGTATGGTGTTCAGTTGTCTCCCTACTCTTTCTGACACCTTTGTTTAAGTTCAACTTTCTATGAATGGTATGTTCAATGTAAACATTTCTCATGCTCATTTAGACAGGGCATTTGTGAACCTTTTGTTTGATAATTGCTTATTTGAACATATTTATGTATGTAAAGTAGCAGTTGAGATGTTTACTGTGGATTTAATAATAGAAGTTAGTAATGGTTGTAGTCTAACGTAATAGTACCTTAAAATAAAAATCATTGTTTTCGTGCCTACATACAATGCTGCAAATGTAGCAAAATTAGAAATTTATTGGCTTTAATCATCATCTGATGAAATTTCTGTATTTAGAAACAGCTCTAATTTCACCTCTCTCAACATTTTGTCTATTGAGGTATTAGTAAACAAATCGTCCACACAGATTAGTTGTTGTAAACAATTTTTCGATCACACTTGTCCATGGCATGCTGAAAACAGTTGAATGTTATGTCAGTTCTTCCCCCACCACTCATTTCCCTATTTATTTTTTAAGAAACTCACATGTTCTCATGGAAGTGAATTTAGGATCATTATAACATAAGAAGCTAAGTAGTGGACAATTTTTTACTGCTTTCCTTTTCTATTGTTAGTTTAACGTCGATAGGATCCTTGATTTCTATTTTTTTTTTATTGGTATTTACAAGTAAAAGTACATTCAGTCAATGTGAACAAAGGAATAAAATAGCATGAAATCACATGTTGAGAAACTACCCATTGGTAGCACTCTTAAGATTTCTATTTAAACTTTGATTTTTAAGTTAACATTTTTTAAAATTATTACTGTGTAAGTTTCTTATTAGTATACTTCTCAATTTTTATTATATTTTATTTTAGTCTTTGCTGTTAGATTGTAATTATATTTCTCATGTAATCACTTTTTTTTTTTTTACTGAAGGAAGTAGTTTCATTATTATTTTTATTCATAGATTATTTTGCTTGAAAATTCAAAATGGGGCTGAGATTTTAGTCAATCATAAACCAAATCGCTATGTTTATTTGGATATTGTGTTTCCAATGGAAAAACATCCAAAGCAGTTCAGTGTATTGTAGTAATCATTAATCAGAAAAAATTAAAAGTGATCGTACTAGTTCACAAGAGTTCCGCACGGATTACGCATGGTTCGCAATCACTTTAGTCACACTTTTTCATGGAGTGCCAAATGCGTTCGGGTTTATCTGAAAGAGAACAAAGGTGATCGATCTCCTGAGTCAGTTACTATTAACTTTCCACCTTTTAAATACTTCTGTAAGCTTAACCATGTTTTTTAGTTATATGGCAGGAGCTGACTTACATTCGAAATCTAGGCTATATCATGAAACCATAACCAAACTTGTATATGTATTATAGATCTGTGAAAAAGAAATAGTAATAGATAAAAACCTTTAATTATTACATCTATGGATTATTTTTCTTATTGGTGTTTTCCATTATTCATCATCTCAGAATTATCAGATATTCTTCGTAAGTTGTTTCTACAATACGTTAATTCCTTTCTGGAAATAAACATGATTTTTTTTTTTTTTTACGAATAACTACGATAATCACCATTTTCGGATTACCATGAAAAATAACTGCGAATAACAATATTTACACAGCTAATTGTAAGTTAGCAGGTAACTAACTGCCAGAAGAGTCTCGTTGGGATTGGATATTTTTGGAATAAATATTTATCTGTAATAACGATTGATAGATATATTTTATTTATTAATATTGTACACTTTTCTCATGCAATCTGTAATCTGGCATTATTTTCATTAAAAGTCCTTGACAATTTAATAGTGGACTAGTTAATAATTATTACTCTAAGAAATCCAAAAATCTACAAAAAAAAAAAAATTATGAACAATTTTAAATCCAACAGTATATTCATAAAAAGCTCAGACGACTAGAAAATGGTGGATCGGTATATCTAAGAATTCAAAAAAGTTTTATAAACTTAATACTCAATCTTTAATCAGACAGTATAGGCTATGCATACAAAACGCCCCCACTAGAAAATAGTGGACCCTTGTATTAATGGAAATCCATAAAGTTACATAAGCTAGATAGAGGATTGCTTAATTCTAAAAAAGGCTTACTAAAATAAATTATAAATTCAATTATTCCAACTTCTATTGAAAAACTAATAATAAATAAAAAGATGATAGATAACTTCTGATTATTTATTATTGAAATGATAAATAAAATTTTATACAGTTATAAAAAATATACTACAGTACACGCGTATTTACAGCCAACATGTAAGTACTTGTCAATAAAAATGTTGTTTCTAAAAGCATTTTTTAACAGGCCTTGGAGAAACGACTCAAACATTTTTTTCTTTTTCTTTCACAGTAATAACCGTTATATTAAAAATTAATAATTGATAAATTAGTAAATACTCAATTCGTTATTAATTTGTTAATAAGCAAATTCCATTCAGGGAATCTTTATTTTCATGGTTGGTTGGATGGGGCAATAGCTGGCTGTGTTGAATGAAGTGATGTTGGATGAAGAAAAAAAAATTATTTGTTTCAATGCGTTACCCGAAGAGTTTGTATTCTTGTGATGACAACTAATCATGTTTAAACTATATTGACGTCTGTGTTCGTCTCTTAACTTCGAGCAGTGGCAGATAAAATGCCTTGATGAAGACATATAAAATAGGTCAAAATGTTGACAAACTAATCTACTATTATACATAGTAGTATATATTAACCGCACCCCTGACCAACTTCTTCAAATTATAATTAGTCAATTATCTGGATACTATTCAAACTATACTTCATTATCTCTATATTTTTTTTGTAAATAAGATATTCTTTTCATGAATAATAATCTTTTGATAACTTAAAAATTGTCACTTAATCGATGTACAGTATTATTTAAATTCTGTTACCAGCTAGTCCCTCAACCATTAATGGTTATTAGGAAATTTAAAAGTTGTGTGTTGATCATTCTGCTTGTTGGTTTAAATTCTTGTGCCAACTAATTATCTAACAATTCTCAGCACTATTTATTTAAATATATTTCGTTGACATGATCAACGAATGATGTTGAGACTTGAGTATCCATTTGGTTTCCTACTAACTTTAATTTTCCAGTTTTATTTATTAAGAACAAATTTTGTTTTAAATTTTAACTTTCTAGTTGTGAAAAATTTATGAAAGATATCTACAGTTGATTTGTTATTTTAGTAATGCCTGCGGTGGTGATTCGGCAGAGGAAACCATTTAGAAGGAAGGATGGTGTTTTTATATATTTTGAAGATAATGCTGGGGTTATAGTTAACAACAAAGGGGAGATGAAAGGTAAGTTTGTTTGATTGGCAAATTAATACCACTTATCTCAAAGCTATTCATGAATCATCTCTCTGTAGTTTAAGGTTTATATTTAGACGTTTTTGTCTTCTTGCAGGTAGTGCTATAACAGGTCCAGTTGCAAAGGAATGTGCTGATCTTTGGCCAAGGATAGCATCCAACGCTAGCAGCATTGCATAATTTTCTTTGTATATTTTAAAATATAAACTTTTTTCCAAAAGTTCTCTGTGAAATTATTTTAATCCTTAGTGTTGTTTATATATTTTTACCTCTGAACTACATTATATTATATATTTTCAATGTTACATTGATATGTATAATCATTAAGGTCGTTGTTCATATAATTTTTAATATCCTTATATCAAGCTACTCTTAAATTTAATCTACTGGAAACTTAGTACACCCTGATTCTGGAGATGGATGTTAAAGATTTAAATGTATTTAAGATTTTTAAAAGATGTTATATTAATCATCCTAGATGGATTTTGGAAGATACTACAAACTTGAGAGCTTGAAAATCCAGTTCTTAGTATTGCTGCTAATCATCTTAAATTTTATTTATTACCTGTATCCTTCAATGGAGACATTTATATTCTCCATTTGTGACGACGTAATTTTTTTTACTCTATAAAAATCTCAGTAAAAACATTCTTAGTATTTTTTCGATGCCTCCATCACTCCTTTAATTGTCTTAATAATCCAAATGCTCATCAGTTTAATGAAACCTTACTGTCTAGCCGAATGGCTTAATATTGTTGAATTGTGTGTGGAAAATAATAAGTGAGTACCTATTTAATCAATTATTAAGAAATGATACAAATAAAAAAAGTTAGGCACGAAGGATGTGATATTTCATTTTTTTTTACTATTATCTGTGTATATAATATATTGTAAGAAGTATTACTATTCTGAAATTTTTTTGATGAGATTTGAAGAGCTATTACAAGTGATTTCCACTGAATTACAGTTTCACAAAATGAACATCCTTAGCTCAAAAACAAATCATCAGAAAGAACTGAAATTTTGTATTTAAGGTGAAGTATGCAGAATACAAGTTACACCATCAACATTTTTACAGGATTATGAATCTTGGAGAGAACCATATTTTTGTGAGGGTTTTAATTTGGTGGAACTTCAAAAGGAGGGGAAAACAGAATGTCAGAGTAATTGTAGTTGTATATAATGTATGATATTTCTTATCTTTATTTATTTATAGATGAAACCATTGAAGAAATGAAAACCGCATTAATTTGACAATTAGATGTAGGACTGGAATATCCATAGCGAGACAGCAAAAACTAAAATTATTTTTAAGACAAAATGAACCCTGCATTATTTCTTTTAAGCACTAGGCTTTTCCCTTCAATTTTTACTGAATGCCTAAGACAATTAATAATGTAACATTTTTTATTTGTATTTCTGTAATTGCCCAAAAGTTTAAAAACACACTTGCTAATAAAATTGTTCTAATAAGTTTTTGCAGTGTAGTTGTCCTTATGCTACTTTATTGATTCAAATAAATATGTAGTGCAGTGTAATTTTTATCTTTAATTTACTATGCACTAAAATACTTATTTCTATTCAAAGTAGAATGGTAAGTGAAAATTGTGTGATACATGCAATGTAATGTAAGAATATTATTTCTTTTTAGTAATTCTTTTTCATTGGTAATATCACTGATGAGCGAAGTTTATTGGCTTTTGGCAGAAGAATTCTACAGAACTCGCAGGAGTAATCAAGAAATAATAGGGTGTATAAAAAAAAAATTACTGTTTTATCAAATTCCAAGGGAGTATAAATATTTTAATTCTTAATAATTCCTTTAGAGCGTTCTCTAATATTGTTTGATCCCATTCTACTCAAGTAAAAGTAAAAAAAAAGCCTCAGTTAAGTTATTTGTTTCAAAGAAAAATCATGACAGTGTCCTATGAAATCCTCATAATTTCAAGGCATTACTGGAAAAAAATTTCACAGTCGCTGAAGCAACTCCTAAAATTTTTAAATTCTAGGTATACTATGCGAGGTTGGTTTCAAAAATTTAGCAGTGGCGATATGGCGTAGGAAAGGAAGAACGGCTCTGGCCGACCATTAAAGGAGGCGCCGATAAAAACTTCGTCAAGGTGGAGTGGCAGGATGAAGATGGCCAAACATTGGGCTAAACAATATCAATTGATGAAGTGTTTTCTAGTTTGTCTAAAACAGCACAGACATCCGCAGAGCCTAGTGAGGAAAGAAGACCCTTCCTCAGAGGTTAATGACAAAGTATCCCATTTGTGGACTGAGTTTCAAGGGTGATAGAGGTTTCAGAATCCATATAGCTAAGAACGAGTCATTTGTTTTGGTGGAATTGAGGTGGGCTGGCCATGTAGCTCGAATGTCAGAGGATAAGTTCCCTAGAAAAGTAATGAGCGAGGTCATTCATAGTACCAGGCCTCTTTGATGAATGGGTGGCGTTACGAAGGATGCCCTGATGATCCTGGGGGTCAGGGACTGGAGAACTGAAGCCTAACAGCGTGCAGGCTGGCGGAAATTATTGGAGGAGGCCAAGGACCCGCAATGGTCAGTCAAGCCAATTGGAAGATTTTTTTTTCCCTCTAATAATATCAAAATAAAAGAACAAAGATTATATTGACAGCGCAAAACGAAAAGACTTTAGCCACAAATTTAAGGAACAGATATTTGAATGAACAGGGTTTTAGCTGTCGTTATTTCATCTTCGGTTAATTTCATAATTAATCTATTTTAGTATAAACAAATTAAATTATCTCTTAAATTTTTAACCTCCACATTTTGGTGCTTGCACATTCTCGAACTGACACCTTCAATTTATACAGAACTGAAAGGTTTTGTAGAAAATTAGTGTAGTTAGAACTATGGTACCTTACTGAAGGCCTCGAAAATACATGCTTACGATTGGCCTGAGGAGAGATTCATATAAGACGACTGGTTGGGTCAGAGAGATGAATCTCTTAAACTACTAACGATATATGTGCTAAAGACATAGGTCTTGAGACAGAATATCTACCATATATAAATGGAGGATATGAAACTCCTTGCATGTGGGAAATATTAGTGAGGATCTGAGTACCATAATTCATACATATGAGTACTAACAGGAGAATTGGCGCCTGGGCCTTCCAAGGATAATCACTGGGCACTTGGGATATGTAGATTTGATAAACTAGTTCAGCAAAAGGGACTGTTCAAACTAGTCTTCCATCTGGTAGACTATAGTTCTTTAGTATTTTTTTTTATCCTTCCTCACAAAACTCCACTTCCAGGAAATAAATGAACTAACAAACTAGCCCATCTCACAGCTTTCTTTAGTTCAACGAATTAAAGAATCATTATTTTCAATGGATAATAGGATATCAATTGATTTATGGACAGAGGAATTAGTTTCTTTTGTAAATTCAAAGAAATTCATAAATGTGTTAATATTATTCTTCCCAAACAAATAAAAATGAAAAATTAACTAGTTCCTTCAATATGTTGAAACACTAATAACCAACCTTTCTTTGTTACTGATATACATTTTTCCAGAACTTTGTTATATATTTTTTGCGACTTTATTTTAATTTTTTTAGAAGAGAAAAGGGAGAAATTTTATCACATGATTTATCATCATAAACATTTTTAAAATATTCTCATTTACTGATAGCTTAAAATTAAAAATGAACCAGCCGTAGGTCGGATGCTGCGAAACCGGTTCAAATACCCCTTCAAAAGAAGGCGGGTTGAAGTTTATTTTGTGGTGGACCCATAGTGTGAATCTTGTCCTTTCCATTCTGGTTAGAATGAGTTTGGTTGTACTTATAGAACAATCCAATGTATGTCATAAAAGGCGAGGTAGAGAGTAATCGAAAAAAAAAGTAATTAATTTGAACTAGTTCAGAGACAAGAACTATATCATATACATGTGTAGACTTTTGGTCCTAATTTTAGATAATTATTTTCAGTTTTCGTTTAACATTTAGAAGAAAAAACTAGGGAAAATATTAATAATTTTGCACTGTCTCAATATATTTTTTAATTTTAAAAAGTTACTATTAGCTACAAACACTGTGTTTAATATTTTTCTGACCTCTTTGGTGGAATATCAGGATGTTATATTTGGACAGGTTTATTATGTTTGGGTTATTTGAAATGGGCTGAAAATGTCAATTGATTTTTATCTCAGCTTTTTACTTTCAATTTTTTTTTGCCAGCTTCTGATTTTCCTTCGATTTTATTATATTGATTCGAGTCGATGTTTTTTACTCTGATTAAGTGCAGTCAAAAGTTTTCTTAGAATTTTCTTACAATGAGCGACTTTAGCAAAGATTACATAGCTGATATAATTGATGAAATTGCTTTAGAAGGCCTTGATGGAATAACTCTTGAAGGTATAGATTGCTATGATATTATTTTTAAAATTTTATTTCTCTAAACAATACCTTTATCACTCTTTCCTATTATGTTTAGCATTATGGGTTAGATTGTCAGAGAGACCAAGGTTTATGTTTAAACCTACTGATAAACAAGTGAAAAAATATCTTTGGATTATTGTCTCTAAATTACCCAATGTTGAGTTCTTCACTTTGCCAGAAGCAAGGCCAAATCTGTTCACATTCAATCGTCTTGAACATATTGACTCCAATGGTAACTTTTATGAACCTGTAAGTTTGTTATATTGTTTTTGGTGTTTTATCTCAATTACAAGATATTATTATATATGGCTATTTTTTGTTTAGGAAGACTTTCCTCCATGCATATATCCACATTGCCCTATCGAGGACAAAGGAATCATGGGTTCTTGTTCTACTTATAAAGAAAGAGAAAATGTGTCTCAAATAGTTCGCAAAGAGTCTTATGAAACAGTTGAGAGGTAAGTTATCAATTTTAGTTTATTTATGAGATACTGAAATCCCTTTGAAATGTAAATCAGTACCATATCAGCCTATCAAGGATTTAGGCATTACATATATAGGTTTATTATAAGATGAATCAATGTTAATCACATTCTCTTTATGATAATAATAATAAAAGGCTTAGCGAACCTGAAGGTTCGATGCCGACACCACCAATCGCTTATTACACACCTCTCTCCACCGTTCGCCGTCCAAACCCAGTCCCTTCAGATCGGCTTTAATGCAATCTTCCCACCTTCGCTTCCGTCTACCCCTCGGACACTTACCATTCGGCACAGCAAATATCAACCTTTTAGGAATTCTCTCGTTACCAAGCCCAACAACTTTACAAACCCATTTGATTCGCCGCGATGAAATTACCTGAATTATATTACCCGGATACAGTTCACGCAATTCGACGTTGTGTAACCGTCTGAACTCTCCGGTTAACTCATCCTTCTTCGGTCCGAATATTCTACGCAATACTTTATTTTCAAAAACCTTAAGAAGCTGCTCATCCCTTAATGTAAGCGGCCAAGTTTCGCATCCATAAAGAACTGTAGGCAAGATAATTGTTTTATAGATTCTAATTTTTAAGTTCCGGGACAAGAGGCGCGAACTAAGTAGTACCAATATTTAAATCCCTATATTTCAACTTGCGCCATGAATCCACTAAAGCAGTCCCCACCCGGGGCCCCGAACGTGGGACTAGTTTACCTCCGGATAATGAGCGTTTTACCTTAGGGAGATTCATGACTATTTGTGGTGTTTGGTGAACTAAAGATATGTGAGTAGGGCGTTCAATCCTACGTCACACCCTCCAGCACGTCTGGTGGGCCCCTACCTCCAGCAAGTCTGGAGGTCCCCTCCCTCCAGCAAGCCTGGAGGGCTCCTCTCATTTTTGGTCAGTGATTCCATCGGACTTAGCCTGGAGGAACTTCCAAAAAATTTCCACCGACCATCCTAACATCCGTAACCCGTGGGACGCTCCCCATACGCGGTAATGAGCCCGCGCGAGGTCTGTTTATGATAATGTTATAATGTTATAACATAATTACATTATAAACATGATTACATTACAACATGATAATGTTACAATATTAAAAGTTGTTATAAAATTAGGCCACATGTGTCATGTCTGGATGTTTTGTGGGCCAAGATCACATCTTACATACAATGCTGAAAAGAGCTAAGCATATCCTATAATACCACACTGTGATAACCCCAATGTTCATTCTTCTGTTTATATTTATTAATAGGAAGAATTGAAGGTGTTAAAAATAAAAATTGTGCCTCCATGAGTCATGTTTAATTGGGAGTATAGAGATCTGTCATCACTTACTCTAAATCTCTAATTTTTTTAATATATAAATTCTAGCACTGTCCTACTTATTCTCAACACTTTAAAAGATGTTAAAAACTAAATAAAAAGAAACCTGCCTAATTTCATTGCTAATTGCAATTTTCTTGATATATATTGCATATTTAATCCTTCATACATCCAGGGGAAATACATATCGAGCATATGCATGCTTACCATTCCATTGGGCATAAAAAAGTCCAGTTATCTATCTCATTATAGTAAAAAAAAGTGTGTGAAAATAGGATTCACAATAATTGTATCCATTTATTTATATTATTATGTATTTTAATTTCTTACCCTTTAACTTTTTTTTTTAATTTCTAGACGAGGAAACCATTTAATTATTGTCGCAAATCAAAACACCAGAACCAGAGCAATATGTTCGATGGACTTCAATCCTTTGACCGAATTAGGTGTCATCCAATACTGTATTTTAGAAAGAATTGGCCGGTCAAGGTATCAAGGTGAGGTTACTCAAGGCAAAAGAGGGCTTCAAGTTGTCACTGATGATCCCAAAATGCTTTATTATTTTAGGAAATTGCTGGTCAAAAACAAACTAGTTACAAAGCAGGTAAATGGTTAATTTACCTTCAGAATTAAAATATAGTCAAAGCTCTGTTCATTAATTTTTATTGTTTATTGCAGTTATTTTATATGAAAGTTCATAAGCAAACATCTACTGGATCTTTGATACATTTGCCTCGGTTTTATACTGAAATAAAAACTAGACAAGACACAGATGCGATGAAGCTTGCTTCATGTTTAGAAAACACTCCTAATAAATGCATGCCTTTAAAATCGGTTAAAACTACCCTGAATATGGAACTAAAAAAACTATTAATTAAATATCCAAACAACTTTAAAACTACTGTGGTGAGTCCATTTTAATGTAATTAGGATAAAAATAAAATAAAATTTATTTTACATCTGATGTAGCAAGAATTCATTAATATATTTGTCTTAAAAGGTACCATACAGAACTGTTAATCCAAATTCAAAACCAAGTGATTGGAAAATGAAGTCGACTGGTGAAGAGAGAAATGTAAGAGTTGTAATGCTGATTAATTCCAATTTGTCTAAAGATGATGATGAAGATGAAGATGATGAAGAGGAGATAGGTACGTTAATAAAATTTTTATAATTTATATAGTGAATATCTTAAGAAAGTGATATTTGTGTTTCGTGTTGGGAAAACATATATTATTTGTTTAATTAAAGTAAATTCTCCAATAACGTTCTTTTCAATTTAAAAAGACCTTAGACATTGGAGAAAATCTCTCAGGGTATAAAAAAAGATTGACCTCATTTCTTTTTTTTTTTTTTTTTTTTGTATTAATATTTCGATATTTAGACTATTTTGAAATATTCTATTTTTCAATACAGAATATTTTGTTGAAAATTGGGCAGATTGAATAAAACAAATTATCTTGTTTAATTTATATCACTATTTTATTGGTATTTACAGCATATCAAAATAATTATGCATAAATTATTAGTATTTTTAGACATAAATGTATAGCTTCTGAATCATATTTCAAAAATCAAGTTTTGCAAAGGTTGTCAGTATGATTTGGTTACAAATAGGAACATAATTTCATATTTTGATGTTATTTAGAGCATGCTATTAACCATAACTTTTTTTAAAAGGCTTGATGGATGAGAGTCAAAGGCGACTTGATAGATGTTTAATTCGTCAGGCTTATTCACTTGTTGAAAAATCTGGACCAAAAGGGATCAAGCAGTCTACTCTTGGAAATCTTTTAGCTGTACCTTCATTGCAAGCGAGAAGTATTTGCAAACAATTAGTTAAGAAGAAGCTGGTTCGTACAGTTCTGATTGATGTAGGACGCCAACGAATCAGTCAGTAAGTGTTTTATTTATAATTTTTGTTTGTATTGGATTGTTCTAGAGATACAACCAAACCTATTTTTGACGGAGTAGGAAAATCACAAAATAAATTTCGACTTGCACAAGCTGGATTTAAGCCGATGATGCTAGGGTAATGATTGTTGAAGCAGTTAACACTCGTACACCCTCGGTCATCATGACCTCATCTCTCATATCTATACGAAATACATAGTATGTAAAAATATTGTGATCATGAAAAATTTTGAATTTGAGATTTCAACAGAAATAATGATTTCACACATTTTTATAATTTTCTAGAAAATGACTCTAGGAATGTTTATTAAACCTGTTATATAAATGTTAAATTAAGTGGACTTTAATTTGAGGAAGGTAATATTCTCATTGAAATAGTCTTACAGAGCTTAAATGAAAAACTTTCAGAATGGATACAATTACCTTTGATTCTGATTATTTAAAATAATTAAATATCACTATTAGCGGTAATAAATTATGTATATAAACTATAGAAGAATTGGATGATTAAAGGAGAAACTTGAAAACAAAGTTAATGAAATAAGAAAAATGCTAAAAATTTATAATTTACCATTGCAAAGTTTTTTTTTGAAAATTTAGAAGAGTTTTATAAGATTATTATAATAATTTTTTTGATGGTTGAGAAATGTATGAAAACGTAATTTTTTTAAATTAATAGGTTGTACGATCTGTAATTTTGACTTTTACTTATCTATATGTAGATGTATATATAAATACTTCCTCTAGGGTCATGGTGTCCAAGCATTTTGGAGTCTAGTACCGACAATTCGAATCTGGTCCGGACGGTCTGAAATTTACTTTGAGGCAGATCCACAGAATGAATATCAACCTTTCAACTCTGTTTAGAATAGGTTTGGTAATAGCTCTAGAACCTAAAATATCAACTTCCATCAAAATACTGTTATTTCATTATTTTTCTTATACATTATTTTTTTTTTCTAGCTTTTATTGCTCCAAATTTGATTCTTCAGAATATACTCTTTCCAAGGAGGTTCGGGATGAGAAAACTAAATTGCTCGAAGCTATTAGTGTAAATACTGAAATATGCGATGATCATTCTCCAACTGATACAAATTGTGATGTTCCCTCCACCAATCAGGGAGCAGAAGTTCCTGAAGTCCTCTTGGTTGAAGAAAAGGGACCTGATCTAATTGAGGTATTTTATTATAATAATTTTTAAAAAAAGATCGTTTATCATTTCACCAAATTAGAAGTGTTATAATTTAATGGACCTTAACAAGTCTGAAAATTGAATCAGTATCAGTTATTTATTTTCATTTGTTATTTCTTGTGAAAATATATTTAATTATTTAGTTAGTGTTCATAATGTTTTTCAATAGTGTTTATTATTTATTTATTATGTTGTTTTTAGTTTAAATACTTAACTTATTTAATATATCAAGAAATATATAGTCAGTTTATTGCAAAAAGTCATAAAGTACATTTTTGATGAAGTTAAAATTTTAAGTTATTGTGAATTTTGATCTTATTTATCATAGTACATCAAAATGACACAAACCATTTTACATATTAAACATAGTTACATTAAGTGCATAAGGTTTTGATTTCATAGAGCGAAAATTCATCAAATACTTATTGATTTATAATTGTGGATTGATGGTTGACTGTAAGGAATAATTGAAAAGAAGAATGGTTGGAGTGATAAGTCAAAAAAATGAAAAAGTAAAAATAAATAAATATGTTTTAAATAAAACGTCAGCAAAAATAAAAATAAATATACTTATTTATTTTTACTTTTTGATTTTTTAAACTGATCATAAATTTATCATATAAATATCATAAATTTAAAAAAATCTGGTGCGCGCATCACACAACTTTCACTTATCATCCTCTTTGAAGAAATAAGTATTTTCGGACAAAGGGGGAGTAAAAATTATAGACGCTATATTTATTTATATTCCATTGTGGGTATTTTTATTTGTATAAGTATCCTTATATATACAAATTTTAATATTTATATGACTGTAATCTATACAATTAAATATTAAATAATATCCACAATAGCATTTATGAAAACCGCATATGTATATTTACATAATATTGTCGCAATCCTTATTATATTAAGCTCATGTTACGTATTGAAGCATGTTCTAATCTTTCACTCGTATTCTTTTGGTTCTTCAGTTACAACTATTCTCCGTTATGATCTCTTATTTCTCATTTTGTTAATTATCAAATTATTTCATATTTTATATTTAAGTTTTTTTTATATTAGAGATCAATGTGAAATGGTCAATGGTTTCAAATTAAAAAAGTTAAAGGTACTTTAGAGGAAGCTAATGTAGAAAATTATTCATTTAAGCCCTGCTAGAGAAGATCAATCAGAATAAAAGCTACATTTTATTTAAAACTGCTGAATTATACACTGATATAATGAATTCGATCAAAATTATTAGAGCCATTTTCGAGGAAATCGTAAAAATATGTTTCACCCTTGATAGAAGTTGCACTTCCGGTTAGCCGATTTTAACAGAATAGTTGCTGCCATATCAGAACTATATAGAAACCTTAAATACACAATTTCAGTTTCGTATGACTTTTCGTTTTTGAGCTACACTGTTCACATACACACAGACCATTTTGCGGCACTCAGGAGACTTCAAAACGTGTATTTCCATTGACAAATCAGATTAAAAAATGTTCACGATCGCAATACTTTCTCTAACTATATATTACATATATAGGTAAGTGAAAGTAATAAAAACTAGATAGGTCCAAATCATTACTCCATCTGGATTAATAAATACGTTTTCTTATGGTACAATTATGGATTTCCTTTAATACAAGTAATTAAAATAATTATTGCGTAATCAAATATTTGAGGAATTGGTGTCATCTTATCATATTTTAAAAATCATTGAAGTACTGAAATGTGTTTTCATCTTGTTTGTAGATATTTTCTAATTTTGGGACCAGCTTACAAAGTGGTCAGTGATAACTTTAGATTATGATATGATTAACTTTCATCTCACCATATGTAATATAATTATAAATATAAATAATAGAAAGAGAAAACAGGAGAACCATCAAAGTGCTTAGTACCATTTAGTCTTCTGCTATAAGCCTTCTGGTGCTTGTTTTTACTTTAAGCAGCTTTGGTTTATTTAAAATATCTAGCTAGTTAGGATAACCATTAATCCTCTTAATTTAATTGGTTTATTTTTTTCAAATTTTATCAAAATCTAAATCCTCATAATTTATTTTTTTTTTTTGAAAATTAAATTAAAGAAGAATTTTTTTCTTATGAAAATTAAGTAATTCATTCATCTAAGGATTAATATTAGATTTTGAGATTGGAAATACTTAATAATTTGTAATGGTATATTTTAAAATAGAGTTATAACAGTAGTGAGTTCAATTGAACCTGACTTCACTGACCCTCTTGGCTGGTTCACCTTGAACCAAGTTGTTTAGTTATAATTAATTTCAGTTTTTAGTTGAACTAGGTTCAAATCATAACCTTCATTTGTACAACTGGATTTTCATATTTGACTTTAGTTCAAGTTCGAATGCCAATTGTATAACTGTCGCTATACTGACTTTGACTGACCCAGGTTAAAATCAAACCTGCACCTTTTGCATGTTAGTACTCTCGTTCCAAATTTCCTGCATTTGTATTGGAATTTCCTAATGCGGGTAGTCTTTTTCTGGATTTAGTCTATAAAAATTGTTAAATTGCTATTTTCTTTTAGTATGAGAGAGACCCCCGCGAACACTCTATATTAAGTGTTTAATAATCATTATATTTGATATATTATAATTATATAAACATAATGTATTTTATTATATTGATAGTACTCCTCTATTACCTCCTGATTATTACCCTAATCAGAACGGTATTAGGCTGCTAGATCACTAACGATAGAAGCTGAAGAAAAGGCATAGTTAAATATAAAATAAAATAACTAATTCAATTATAAGTTTAAAATAAAATAAATCCTGGGTGTATTATTTAAAACGTTTTTTATTAAATTCATAAATATATGGTTTAAATCAATCGTTGGTATGCATTTGTACATTGTACGTAACTTAATATAAATTTAAATTTATTTCAAACTTATGAAATATAATCTTAACAGAATATTATTCATAATAATAATAACTATACTAGCCATATGTTTATTTTACTCCTGTAAAGACAGTGGTTTACAGTCGTAAGATCTGCACTTTAACTGGTACTCGAGAAAGAAGAATCGGAAGATTTCTAGTGGAAATTCTTCTGCAGAGTATCCATAAATATTACTAAAGCCAGCCATAAAATAAAGCCATAAAGCCAGCATCTCACGGCCCAATAAAGAATTCTGGAACACCACTCTACACCAGATATATAGCCTTTAATGTTCTGGTTAGATGATGGTATATTGGGTTTGCTCAAGAATGTTCTTATGTAGATCTGAAAGCAGGTTATATGATTGACCATATCTGATTTGGGTTGATGTTATTGAAAGTTTGGAGGTCAGTTACTGGAAATTATTCGCATCTCAGAGAGCTGAATACAACAAATGTTGAATGAAGGTCACTGATTATTAATGATAATAAATAACTGATGAACACTGATAAATGATTAACATAATTTTTAATTGTATTTTAAGCAAACTTCAATTATTCCTGAGTGTAAGGTATCTTTTCCTTGCTGCACTGTCCTAATTTCATGGTTTCATATTTATATTTTGGATTTTATTTCTCTTTTTTTTTTTTTTTTAACCTATACCTAATACATAAAGCAGATTTTAACTCAGCATTTTTCTTTATAAAAATAAGATTTTACCAAAGTTACATTCACTTTTTAAGTACAAAAGTTATATCCACCATTACTTATTTTTTTTCTTTATATGAAGCATTATGAGGGAGAAAAAAAACTTTATAACATTCTGCTCATACTTTCAGGAGATTTTTAAATTTCCACGGGTTATTCCTTATCAATAATAACCTCCAATAATCTATTTTGGAGACCCATTATTTTATATCTCACTGCCAATCTTAACTAATTATTAGTTCAAACTTTATTATTATTTTTCCACCTCTTTGTGGACTTGGTTTTATATATATTAGTTGACATTCAAGATTTTAACATAAAAAATTTACTTTTACTAGTTTTCCCATGGTATAAATATTGATTATTGATCAAATGGTAATATAATGTGGAAATAAGTATACATGAAATATTATTTGAGGAACGAACTAATCTTTCTTTTCCCGGTTTATCACAATGATTTATCATCGTAAAGCATAAACCAAAATTTTTACAAATTATAATGATCTGTATCTTTGCTAATTATGTAGGTTATTTGAAATATTCATGAAGACATGGGATACTAACAAATGTCTGTTTGGAGAAGTGGTTACCCACAAATTGTGTATGAAGTCCTATGTTAAAATCGAACCCAGAAATATGAACTAGACTACTTTATCAAACATATGAGATGATAGATACTGTTTCTTTTACTAAGCATGCTTTCCTAGACTCCATATTCTTAATTTTTGAGCTATTTACTTAGCTGCTTCTCTGGTTCGATCAGAGATAAAAATGCTTTTATCACTGCTGTTGGTGCCCTGTCGACGATTCTATGACGGCAAAAGCCATAAGCTGGTATTGGTGGTTGTATATCGTTCCCCTTATCTGAAGTTCAGCATCTCTTATGGCCTTTTCTAAGACTAAATTAAAAAGTAAAACAAGCTAAAGCATTTCCATGCCTTATGCCTTTACTTATAATAAGTTCTTCTGCCCTGTTGCTGTAGATTTTTACTTATTTTGACAAGTGTTAATAAATTTTCAAACTACCTTTAAATCATTTTTACATATTTTATAGATTGTTTTTTTTTCTATTAAATTCTGTTCATATATTATTAATTCAAAAATACTAATAAAAATCTCATATTTATTTGCTGGGCGTTTTTTCAAAAAGTATTTTATACATTTCTGTAAGAAGCTGTTTATACAAAATATTTTTTGTATGAACTGTTTATACAGCTCTGTAAAAAGCTGTAACTTTGTAAATTAGATTAGTTTACAGAGGTAATATTAGATTTTAATTAAGGTTTTTATTGTTTTTCATGTGTGATGATTTTCTGCGTAAATATATTTTACATTTAAATACTTTCAAAACAACAAAAAAATGCTGATACTGAGCTGTAGAGGTGCCCATTACCTTTTTGTATTTTTTTTTTTTACGTTATAATGTACATATCGTCGGCCTCATTGCAAAGCAGAGTAAATTATAAATCGCAACTCTAGTTTTCTTCATATTGAAATATATTTTTTTAAATAAGTAAGTTCTAGCAAGTAGAAAATATTAACAATAAATTAAAAATACGTAAAATTTACGCAGAAATAAAATAAACGGAAATCACAACGTTTTGTACTTACGCAGTTGCATATTGAGACCGACGATATTTGAAATGTTGCTGGTCAAATTAAAAAAAAAAAAAAATCTAAATCTAGGCATTTTTATGTAACTTTGATTTGTGAATATTTTCAAAGTATCACATATGTTAACAATAAACACTATTAATTTCAAAGCGAAAGGTTTTCTAGTGTCATGGCAACTATATTTGTAATCGGCTTAAAAGTTATATCTTTGCCACCAGATTAAGATAACGAATGTGACCAAAGTCTTTTCAGGAGACAATATACTTCATATTTTCCTTTTAACTTTTTTTTAAAAATTTGTTTTTTTTTTCTTAAAATACCTACTTCTGGAAAAGTTATATTCCTAAAATAACAATTTTTCACATTTATTACATGTTACAGTAACGATGATCGCAGGGGTGTCCAGAAAGGGGTTGAAAGACGCAAGTTGAGCCATTAACATTTTTGATGGGCACACATTTTTACGTGTTTATGAATTTTTGAGGAAACGGTCTTTTACTGATTTATAAATTTTCGAAGGTTACTGTAATTTCATGGGAACTTTCAAGCTGCGTTTAGACATTTCACACTCGTATTCCTTTGGTTTCTCAATTACAACTATTCTCCGTTACGATCTCTTATTTCTCATTTTGTTAATTATCAAATTATTTTATATTTAAGTATTTTTGATATGAGAGATCAATGTGAAATGGTCAACTGTTTCAAATAAAAAAATTAAAGGTACCTTAGGAGAAGCTAATATTGAAAATTAGCCATTTAAGCCCTGTTAGAGAACGTCAATAAGAATAAAACCTACATTTTATTTTAAACTGCTTAATTTTACACTGATATAATGAATTTAATCAAAATCATTTGAGCCGTTTTCGAGAAAATCGAATATCAAGTGCCACTTCCGGGTAGCTGATTTTGACGAAAACGTTGCTTCAACACCCAACCATATAAAAACCTTAAATATGCAATTTCACTTTCGTAAGATTTTTCACACAAATACAGACCATTTCGCGGGACCTGGTTATTTGGACTCAAGGGACCTCAAAACATGTATTTCCGTTGGAAAATCATATTCGAAAAATTTCACGATCGTAATACTTTCCCTTAATATATATATTTCATATACAGGTAAGTGAAAGTATAAAACAGAAATATTTGCATTAGGAAACAACATTTAAATATTTATTTTTTCTATAGTTTGTTAAATGTCTAAACGCACCTTTAAACCAACGAACACGGAGATAAATATGGAACACAGACCACAGTCAATGTAATTATAAATAAATTTCTATTTTAATAATTCTGCTTTCATTTGTATCGTCTTTAAGAACGGTGAACAATACGATTTCTTGATTGGGGGAGGGGAGAGTGTTTGCACCATTGCCCTTTGGAGAGGGTTGTTCATCCCTTAAACGATGTATTGTAACTTGAAGGTTGTTGCAACAACATAGAAACACTAGCGGATCCAGGATTTAATTTTGGGGAGGGGAGCTTCAGTACGGAAGATTTTTTTTTCTGATATATTACAATAATTACTTTAGAAAAAACAGAAAGATACTAACTACCTATATGAAATGGTGTTTAAGTGATTCTTGAAGTCCTATTAAATGTAATTAAACGAGCAATAATACTTTAAGGCCTAATTTTTTACCATTAAACATGGTTACATTTTACCATTTTGAGAGGAGGCTTCAGCCCCTCCCTCCCCGTGAATCCGCTTGTGCATCGAAATGATGGTATTTAAGTAAAATAAAATGAAACCGTTTATTTAAATGGGTTTTTGTTTTTTGATTATCGAATACTGATATTTAAAAAAACAAATAAAACCTCTTATAGGTTTCAATCATTAATAATTACATTTTTATTTCCTTAATTTTTATGTTGAACAGTTTTATTTATTTTTCTTTAGTTCCTAGTAATGAGTATTTTAATATTTCTATTTAAAATTGATACTTTTTGTGATTAGCAAATTTATAAATATTTAAATGTTGTTATTCAAAATATTAGACTTAAATTCAATATTAATCATATTTATAATGGATATTTGCATGAATTTACAATTTTTATTCCTTGATGAAGATTAGGTTATAACAATAAAATCGCAAAAAGTCTCAAATTTGTTTGGTTCATATTTCCAAAAAATCATTAGTAGTGTTAAAGAAAAGTGGTGGGGCTTATATCTCGAGATTGGACACAGCAGTCATGGCTTGTCACAGCGCCTGGCTCATACCTTTAATTACCTTATACTTATATTCTTATACTAGTGTTTTCAATTTTGAAATTTCCATCCAAATTTCAATTTCCAAAATCCATACCAAGTTTTCTACCTATATAGGGTCTCTATCTATCTTCAGCTCTATCTATACATATTTACAGTAGTAACTATTTACAATTTTACTTTTCAAAATACTATTACAATAGTAGGAAGGAATAATTGGGTAGGGAAATCTGGGAGTAGGGGATAAAATGTTTAGCTAGGTTTGGGGTATTGCTATTATGTGGTAAAAATTATCAAGGAAATGTTCCTGAAATTCATTCTAGTGTGCAGCAAGGGATTGTGCATTGATGTGATAGGAATTCAGAATATTAGTCATGACTGGAGAGTTGGGAAGTAGGATTTTGGGGGGAAAAAAAATGATCAAGGATGGAGGATAGGATATAGCATTTTTTTAAGCATAATGTCAAGTTTATAAATATAAAAAAACAATGCTTACATAAAATAAACTTTGAGATGAAAAAAATAAATTTTCGGTGTTTCGAAATAAATATTCAGTTAAAATTAATTTATAACATAAGAAAATATAAATTTCTCTTTGGTCTAGATAAATTGATAAAAATTGGCAAGGAATCGAATAAAGTTCTAAATAATTTATAAAAAAATAAAAGAAGCTTAAAATTAAAATAATAATATTTCTGATGAGTAAAAATTGATACAAAAATAAAAAAAACAAGAGAAGCTACATTTATAAAAAAATAAAGAAAGCTGGAAATGAAAAAATATATTTCTAGGGAGAGAAAGTATATATATGTATTGTGTTAGGTAATTATGTCATTATATGTATTTTTAAAGTACCATTTCTTGATTAATTTATCATTTTATGGTGAAGAGTAATAATGAGTATTAATTTTATTTGTGAAGGAAATAGTCTCAAATTTTTTTTTTATTTTATAGGATGTGAACAATCCTGGAACCGCTGAAAATTCTGCGGCTAAGAGTAGAGGTGGAACTCCTTCGTGTATGGAAGAAATTGAAGCTGAAATTATTATTCAATCCTCTAGTGATAGGTAATTTTCGTTGTTTATTCTTTTCAAAAATATTAGTTTCTTAAATTTATTTGTCATGCATTAACTATTAGTTTTATTTACCTCTTTCATCTGTATCATTGAATATATTCTTATTAACCATGCATTTTGATTTTTTTTTTTCTGTTTGCATTACAAACCTTGTAGATCTTTTGCAACATTAATTTGCATTATTGTATTATTAGAATTTGCATTGCAACATCAGAATTCTCAATCTCTTCGTTGTTTATTCCTATCTTAGGCTATTTCTTGCCCACTATTGAGGAATTCATTGTTGTGATGATTGCATATAACTTTGCATGCCCTACCCATCCCATCTTAACCTTCTCAACTTCACATCATGAGATATTGATTGTTTCTTAAGCAGTTCTTTATTGGTCATTCTCCTCTATACGTTAGTACTCGATTCCCAGAATATTACTACGGAGCTCCAGTTATTGTGTGGAGGATTTTTCTCTGAAGTATTCCAATAATTCTTTCAAGGGTGGTGGTTATTGTCCAGGTCTCACATACATGTATTAGACTTTATCATAGCATTGTCCACTCTTAATTTGAGACATCTTCAATTTTTTTGTGATTTCAATACTTTTGAAAGAGAGAAGAACACTTTGTTTGCATTGGTTATGTGCTGGTCTCCAAAAGTTGGTCATTCATTGAATTTATTGTGGACCTGAGGTATTTATATTTCCCTACTTTCGGGAACAATTACTTTCTTCCACAGATCCTGTTGTTGGGTTTTGAGCTTATCTTCTTATATTTTGTTTTATCTTGGTTTACTTATCGGCCATTTTTTTCTCTTCTCAGAGTCTTAGTGGGTCTCTTCATGTCCTCTTAGTTGCTTTCAAGGACTGCTATATCATCTTCATATCCAAGAATCTTATGATCCTTTCCGACATGCACTCCTCCTTTTCATGTGATGTTGTTCTTATCACACCGTCCAGTTGAACAACATCAGGGAGAGTCCATCATCCTGTCTTAAGCCAGTTCGAACTTTGAAGGCTTTAGATACTTTTCCTTGTACTAATTGTATTAGTATATACAATTAGGTATAAATTTATTAATTGTACCAAATGAATATGTATTTTGATTTAAACATATTTATTTTGAGTTCTAATTTGTTAATATAAAACCATCAGTTGTTAGCAGCAAATCATATTAATAACAGTAGAATAGTGAAGTAACTAAAAAAGAACCCAAACTCCAATATAGTAATTCTATCAAATGTGACATCGGTACTTCAGTACCTTAAGTCTTAATGGAAATCTAGATTCCATACCCTGGCAGGAGAAATTGAAAAACTTCAAGTCTAGTACAAAAGAGTAGTACTCTAATGGACATTGCAGAATCCTTGGAAATGAAATAGCTGACAACTAATGAACTAGCAACAGAAGGAGTTGTATCTCTTCAAACTCTTATATATATTGTTTATGTACATTCAAAAATATACATTGGAGTTAAAAATATTGCGGAGGGGCGCACCCAACTCTCTCCCTCCCCCCACTCTCCTCTCAAAAGCCCAGTCTTTAGAGTCAGTCAGCCTAGTCTCAGAAATATTGATTTAGCTTTCTATTTTAATGTTCTGATTTGCATTAACTGAAAATTCTCTTTTTGCAGACCAACATTAAGCTTAACAGAGGAAATGAAGTACCTCGATAAAGGTGACACTAATAATAGCCTCACTGCAAGAATGTTGAAGAGAGCAAGTTTAATTGTGCAGTCTGTTAATATTCTTAAGGTGATTCAAGATTTCCAGAAGATTCAAAAGGTTATAAGATTTTACTAAATATTCTTCCTAATTTTTTTAATAATTTAAATTCTTATTAGATAGATGTCATTTCATACAATTTCAGCTTTATTTATTTTCAGGATTTATGTTTATTATACTATATCTAAGATATATAGAAGTCAGTTTATTGCAAAAAGTTTTTATCAAAGTACGTTTTTGTAAATTTCAACTTATTTATCGATGGAAAAACAAAATAAATAATGCATCAAAATGACACAAACTCATTATATTTCTAAAATTGTTACACAAAGTGTACAAAGTGCAGAGAATTTACAATTTACTTTCAAATAATCATGGGTACAATATATATACTTTTTGAATCATTTGCAAATAAAGTTTCTTTTCTTTTATAACTTTTTTTTCCTGAAATTTTGAGAGAATGTGACAATAATTTTTCACTTCTTCATGAAATCCATTTTTCGTCTGATATCTTATTCATCAATATCTATTGTTTCTGAGAGCCGGAAAAGGGATCTAAACTGCAAAAAACTATCATATTATGTATAAAGATAGATTGTTTTAAGTTTATATTTATAATTAGACTAATATTCTTAAGGTTTATTCAATTTAAAAAAAAAAAGTATACTAAAAATAGGGTGGTAAGTGAGAGTTGTGAGATGCTTCATCCGAAATTCTTCGAAACTTATATCCATTATTTTTTGTTGTCAAGAATGAAAAACTTTTTTATAATGGATTGAGTTCCAAGGTGGCTTTTCAATGATAGTTCTAAATGCAGTCTGGAATTTAGAAGTTTTCTTAATATCAGTAATCACTCATAAGAAAATGACATTCTAATTTACTAAGAAGTTGATTAATCTTATCTTTAGTCGTATTATTTGATTCTTCATGCCCGTCAACAGTTTCAGTATATTTAATTTATCACATCATAATCAATTACAAATTAATCATAAAATATTTTTAATTAACATCTACTGAAAGAAGATAAACCTTCTTCACTAATGTTATTTGCTTTTTATTACTTATACAGTGTTTGAGGGTTAAGTGGCCTAACTGGAAATATGAATTAAAGACCTCAAAACAAGAAAAAAAATCCTACGAAGGTTTGTCCCCAAAAGCTTTGTTTAGGAGATATTCACTCCTAAAGATTTTCATTGTTATAAGTTATTTACGTTATATAAAGTAAATAAAACTTATTTATTTGTTCTAACTACTTTATTAATTAACCATAAACATTAAATTCATATTAAATTTTGTTCAAAGTGATTTCCTTGAGCTTTAAGACTGGCTCGGCATCTTTCTTGAACAGCAGCAGTGGCAGAACGGCACTGGATATGTGTTGTTGTTTCACAAGATTCAATTATCCTTCTTCGTAAGGAATTAAGGTCATTGACCGGACTTGCATAGGCTTTGATTAAGGACTTGACCGGCTTTTTATTTAATATCACCCCAAACAAAACAATCTGGTGGTGTCAGGTCTGGAGACCGTGCAGGCCAAGCCACTGATCCTGCATGCCTAAACAAAGCGTTTGGGGATATACCTTCACTTTTTAATGTTAAAGTCTTAATGTATATTAGATTAGAAAAACTCTTGTCTTATTTGAATAAAATAATTTGACTTATTGTCTTTCTGTTTTCAGATAATTAATGAAGAAGAAGAATCTGAAGGTCTAAAGCAAACTGTTGACAGAAAAACAGTACAAAGATTACTTGATAAACTTGAAATTGACGGCCTTGTTAGAATTATTAAAGTCAATCTTAAAGGGCATGGCAAAGAAAAGAATATGGTCTTTATCTGTCACCCAACTGTTAACGAGAGTAAGTTTTGAAGATACCTATTGCGATATACTTGTTATTACTTTTTTTAACCAGTCACAAAGATTTTTTATAAAGAAATCTGTTAAACAGATTCCTCAATACTTTCTGCATTACTGAAATCTGTTCAAAAAATTCAGCTGAGAACAAAGTTTGACATTATTTAGTATCAAGTTACTTATACTAATGTACTATATAACTTTATTATATAAGTAATTAACAAGTACTGTCGATTTTTCTCTTTCTTAGTAAACAGTCAGAAATAGTAATTGCTAATTGTTAATATCTCAAATAAAAATATGGTTCCTAGGACCTCAAATTATAAATTATTGAAATCCATAAAGCATTTATTAAATGAAGAAATAAATTTAATTATTATTAAATATAATATTGTTATTATAAATATTTAACTATTATTTAATACCATAAAGTAATAAAAAGATATTTTTAGGCCAATTTTTGGTATTTGAAAAAAAGTCAACTAACAAACCCTTATTCTTAGTACATATTTGAAAACTTGTATTACAATTATATAATAAAACTGTATTATTAAACCTATATATTTATGTAACAATATTTAATTAGATTTTTAAGTATTTACCATTGTTATTTTTATTTTAGATCATTCTGAAATTCAGTCAGCAATAGAACAAGCAAAAATGAAGTTACCCATAGTTTCGGCTCATCACACAAAAAAATCTATTTTAAAGAAAATTCAAGATAAGCGTCTAAAGCAGCCCACTTATAAGCATGATGTTGTTAGTATTTTTAAATTTGATAAGTTTCATGAATGTTGAGTAGAATTGTTGAAATAAATTAATTTTTTGGGGGGGAAATATATTATTTTCATGTTTCCTATTTATTTTTATAGAGAGCAGGTCGGAAATATGGATACAAACCAAAATTTATTAGGATGCGTATATTTCACATGTATATGTACTACCTCATTTATGGCTATGAAGGCAGTTGTGATATAGACCAGTCGTGTAAAAATGATATATTAAAACAGTTGGAACTAGACGATTCATTGCTAGAGGAAATGTCGACTGTCTACAGGAACGAAATTGATTGGAAAATGTTTCTACCTCCCTTGCCTACTCATGCAGGTTAGTTATGAGTTTTTATTTGAATTAATATATTTAATGAATATCTGATCTGGTAAGGTGTGGTGGCTTTAAGTACTGATTGGGCGGTAATACTGTAAAAGTTTTATGCTTGATGCTTTGATGATTCTGATCATTCTTAATTTAATACAAAATTAACGAATAGTTATTGGATTAAGCAAAATATTATTTAGAGTAGATGAAATTTACAACTCAAGTGAGAAAGATTGAGGGATCATACATATAAACATCCTGCCTTATAATTTAGTAGATGAACTGTTTAATCGCTCTTTTCTTATATAATGTTTTTTTTTTGTCTATATTTATAAACAATTTAACGTTTAAATATTTTGTTATGCATTTATGATAATTTCTTTTATATAATTTTATTCTGAATTTTAGAATATCCAGAAGGTTGGTGCCTGCTGAGTGATGTCTTGTTACGGCTTCCTCTATGCTTATTTGTCAGTATTGTCAATGTTGCATACGATATACCCGGTTTATTAGAGTATGTTGAGCATCCGCTCAGAAGATATTTTTTAGTTAAACACTTGCCTCCAGAAATTCTTCATCATTTGACGTTAATGAGAAAGTAAATCAATATATATGTTGTTTTTTTAAATCAAATTGTTTAAAACTCAAGTTTTCTAAAATATACTAAATTATATATATTTTTTAGATACATTTTTGTGATAAGTGAAATAGTTTTTCGACTAGCATACATAGGAATTACGCAAATGGGTCCACAGAAATTAAAAGAAAAAGATCAGGTGATTGTTTCATATTATCAACTTTTGATTAAATAAAGAAACTTTTTCTCTTATCTGAGTTACTTATATTTTTTCTTATATTAATTGCCTTGAAACATTTTATATCTTTAATAAATTGAATTATAATTCCATTCAACTACAATTTTATGAAAGATACTAGACCTTCTGAATTGATTGATAACAAGTAATTAACTAAATGGGTTAAGTTTGAATAATTCTTCACATAATACTCTTATTGAAGAATGACCTTATTTTTTTAATGTTTGTTAAACTTCGACTTTACTGTTTATTTACTTCTTGGAATCACTGGAGCTGAAGGTTATCAAATTCAGATGGAAAAATTAATAAGTGAATAAGTGTATAATTATTATAGTCAGTATTTTTTATTTTTTAGGTATTTATTTATCTAAACCGAAATGCAATACTATATAATACTATTTCATCTGACGCAGGATACAATCAAATATCTAAAAACAAAACATATGAAACTGTTTATTATCAATTCAACTCGATTGATGATCTTGAAAGTTATTGGTACGATTTATGGAATTTTGCTATGAATACAAATTTAGGTAAGAATGATGCCAGTATATTTAAGATATTATATTAACCATTGAATTTTGCGTTCTTGCTCTTATATATATTAGTTTGGCTTTGATTTATTATTTTATTCTGCTCTCAATAATGTAGCTCTCTCTCTTATACTGTACATATACATAATTTCTCAAATATTATACTTATAATTTGAAGGAAAAAAAAAAATTCTTATAAATTGTAGGAAAAAAAAAAAGATCATTATGTAATCAATAAAAACTGCATTTTAACATGTTCGCTGCCAACAAGTTATCTCCTTTGTGCCAGCTACGAGTAATTAGTAGAACATTTTTGCTTTATTTATTTATTTTTAGATTTTTAGATATATGATCACTGAATGTAACTAAATATTGAATGTAACTTCTATACAACTTGAACTAGAAAGATTAATAGTTAAAACTGAGGTAACAGCAGTTTCATAACACTTTAATGAGAATAAGAGGCAACTTTTATTATATAACTGCTTTTTTGTCGTTCATGAACTTTAACAAGTCACGGGCGTTATCTTTGTTCATCGACCGAAGAAAGTTAGCTCCATCATCCGTAGTTTGCGATCCTAAACTAATTCTTCTTCGCTTCTCAAATCTTTTGCACTTGAAGGCAATGTGACTTGGATCCTCCAAGTATTGGCATGTTGGGTTATGACCACCCTTAGCTATACTCATTAGATGTAGATATTTATTAGTTCTACCATGATTTATTCTAAGCCTGGTCAGCTTTACTCAGCTTTAGCGGTCGAGATGAGATTTAAGAGTCGCAAACCATGGAACCAGTGCTATCTTCTGTTGAACTGCATGATGGTCCTTACCCTTCGAAGCACATTCCCAGTCATAGAAATGCTGCCAGTCTTTCATTATTTCTCCCCTCACTACTCTTATCAAATCCAGGAAAGTAACCTTAGCATTTATTAGATGTAGTTGGTTTCGATTCGCCGTTTTGTCTGCCTTTTCATTTCCTGATATTCCTACATGTGCCGGCACCCTTTGGAAAAAGTAATTGTTGCTGGCGTTATATATTAGTGATATGATTTTAATGTGTTGAAAAGAGGCTGTAATTCCTTAATAATGATGGATAGTTGAGGATAGAACACGTTTCCACTTCTAATTTCTTGACCTACAGGATGATTATTGTCAGAATAGATTTTGAGAATGTACTTTTTTGTTATCCATGATCTTCTGATATGTAATGGCATCTCTCAGGCTGAGGTCTGAAGAGCATTTACTGGAGAAGTTTTAAAAGCACTCAAATATAAACTAATGGAACAGTATTATGTTGTATTCAACTTATTTATGAGGGGGGATTTTGTTTGATTGTATACGACACAGCAGTAATCAAAATTCGATCTTACTATTGTTTTGGTGGTGTTGGCATCGAACCTCCGGGTTCGCTAAGCCTTTTATTATTATTATTATTGTTTTGTAGAGAGTGAGCATGTGCATGGTGCTGATGGAAGCATTTTTGAAAATGTTGCTCGGCAGCGAATGTGTTAAATAATTCTTTAATAAGTCAAAACCAGTGTTGGTCAAAAATCAATTCCAATTAACAAATAAATTAGTTAGTGATCCAGCTACAATTATTGACAATTTAGTCGTTATTTGGAACCACAAATAATTATTTTCAATTAAATTACTTGTAGATGAATCACCCTCTTAATGAAAAATTTTCTTTAGAAAATCCTTTGTATTTCATGGCACCACTTTTTGAAATTTCATACTCAGAACCTTCTGTAATGTGTTTTATCCTCAATCTATCTTAGAATATCCCATTCCACTGTCTTCAACATCCTTGGTTTTATTTTTTAAGGAGCTTTAGGTATACTATATCTCTAGTACTAGATTATTTTATTTATAATTTTACAATTTTTGAATTGCTAATGTGTCGAATTGCGTATTTTTTTATTAAATGAAGCCCGGCAAAAACTCCATTCAGTTATTCAATTTTATTATTCTTTTGAGCAATTTTTCCTGAAATAAAAAATATTTTCCATTTAATACAGTCATTATACTTCATCAGAAACACAAATTTTCTTACTTTTTTTTTTTTGTTCATCATCATCAATATTATTTCTAGAAACTCCTTTCGTTTAAATCCTTATTCGTATTTGTATTAAATCCTTATCCGTTTAAATCCTTTATTTGTAGCCATAAACATTGAATAGAATCATAATAAAAGAAAAATGAGATATATGCTTTATTCATTCTTATCTATTCCATGTGAACGATTCACTATTTCCTAATATTTTTAAGAATATAGACTCTCATAACTTTACCAGTAGCAAAAACTATTTATTTTAATGTTTATAGGTATAAGAAACAGTATGACTGGGCAGTCAGTTGTTGTTGAGTCAGTGAATACCAAAAAAGAGCTACTTGCATCTCTCCATCCAAAAACTGTTGAAGAAGCGAAATCTTGTGACGTAGGATATCTTCCTGGAGACCATCTTGGTGCTGCTGGTCTTGATTCTGATATGTTTGTGTACGTTAAATTTTATTTCTGTTTTTTATTTTATTTTTTCTGAAAAAACCCTTAAGATTTTATGGAATACATTATGTGTACTTAAATATGATTTAAACCTTAGAATATATCATGAGCTAGTATCTCCTACACCTTTTCTTATCTTATTTCACTGTACTTTTTTTGAACACACTCAACCATCTTATATTTAAACCTTGATCAGCAATCTCCGCCTAATTATAAATATTATAGCATTATTATTAGGTCATTTGATATGAAATGCCCGTTTCAGAAATCCAAAGTGGGTGTAGTGTACTTTTTTTACCAATCCTCTCTTTTTTGATAATATTTAGTATCATTCCAGTTGATTGCATGATGTTTATTATGCCATCAAACATGCCGATGGAAACACACAATTTCTATTAATTTTTTATGAGTTTAAACTTGTTCACTCGGCAGCCCAAGCTGCAAGAAACATTACCATTACCATAGGAAATGTAGTCAACAGAAGGAGAAGAGCCACTTTAACTCATCATAATGGTGAAAAATGCTGGCTGCTGTCCATGATTTGCTTCAATCTGCCCTTTAATAGAAGAAATTTATTCTTCTTTTTTTAAAGTATTTTTAGGTATATATTCGTGGAACAATTATTTGATTATAATATTGTTCATTAGCTATTATTGCTAGAGACTGAATAGATTCCAATCCCTTAAATAAAAAAAATGCTGCAAATTATTTCACAATGGTTTATTATCTCCAAACAATTATACATCTAAAGTAACATTACCTTCCAAGTTACAAAGAAAAAAAAAAACAAAAGTTGATTCCAATTATTGGACTAAACTGTTTTTCTTTAATCATCAGTAATATGCTAAACATTTGTTCATTAGTAATATGATTTTAACGATTTTTTTTAGGAAATTTCGTAAACTTTAAAAAAACTATATACAATATCAACAAAAAAGTAAAAACTTTTCGAGTTATTCAGAATTTAATTTTACCATCCCTCGTAACTTTTTTTCCAGCTTCTTTTTGTTGAAGTATGTTGTATAGATAAATTTAAAGGGCTTCGAGAAAATGACTTTAGCGAAGTTTCACTGAAATCTGTACATTCGTTTAGGAGCTACAGTCTATAGCAACGCAGGTTTTTCGGCCGCCATTTTGAAAGTTAAAGGCGGAGAGTAATGTCGATGAAGGAGGATCATCCTTGGGTGACCTCTGATGTTATATCAAAATTTGAAAAAAATCGGTCCAGTAGTTTTGGAGAAAATGCGTGTACGGCGGATGAACAAAAAAATTTTTATTCGTTTTTCGAATTCTAGGCGTCTTGAAACGTGAAACCTCAAATTTTGAGAGGGGGTTATGTTTTTGAATTTTTTGGTCGATCACAATGTTTCATTATTGAAAATAATAAACCAAAAATGTTCTCAGTGATTCGAAAAATTGAACCCACTTATTTCTCATTGCTAACCACTGTACCACAAAGATGGTTGAAATTTTATTTGAATTATATTCATAAACCATAAAGAGGCTATATGAGAAAATATTTAATTATATCATTATATTTTTTATAGGCACCTCAAGCGAAATTGGTATTGGACTGGGAAATGTAAGAGTGATGATTCCATACATCGCAGCATGTACCCTACTGTCATCAAGGAGGTATCAATCTTTTTACACTCTGTTTCATATCATTTCTGTATTTTAAAACTGCTTAAATCTTCTGAGTTATGAGACTTATTTATTAAATTTGTTTTTAGTTGTATAATAAATCTTTAAAAAGGAGGAAAGTACAGGAACCAACTCCTCCTTCGACTGTCTCGCAACCTCCTTCACCTCAACCTACTGAGAAACTAAAGAAAGCTAAAAGTGTTGTTACTCAATCGCATTTCAAACTAGCCAGTACAGCAAGAAAGTCAAAGGCGATTTCGAAGAAAAAAACAAGAATTGTGAAACAGAGGAAAACCAGATATGCAAGGAAACCCTATTATGACCAGATAGATAAAGATGCTTTGTCTAGGATGGTTAAATTGTAAGCAAAATTCATTATTAATGGTTGTGCTTGGGATAAGTTTGTGGCTTATTGCAGGAACAGTCAATTTAAATTTAAGAATAAAATGAGATTGATTCATAGTTTTAATGCAATAATTAGGCAAGTGAACTAGAAATATTTTTACTTTCACTTACCTATATATGTAATAGTTGTAAGGGTAAGTATTGCGATCGTGAAATTTTTTTAATCTGAGTTTTCAAATAACCATGTTTCACAAAATGGTCTGTGTGTGTATGTAAACAGCTTAAAAACGAAAAGTGGTACGAAACTTAATTTGTTTGACCTTTTTATAAGCCTAAGATGTTACAGTAACCTTTTTTGTCATAATTTTCAAACTGGAAGTGGTACTTTATATCATCGATTTAAAATATTTTTACGATTTTCTCAAAAACGGCTGTAACGATTTTGATTAAACTCCGTATATCAGTGTATTATTAAGCAGTTTTTAATATAATATAGGTTTCATTCTTATTCATGTTCTCTAACTGGACTTAAATGACTAATTTTTAATATTAGATTCCTCTAAAGTACCTTTAATTTTTTTATTTAAAATAATTAACCATTTCACATTAATCTTTGATATGAAAACTAGTTAAATGTAAAATATGAAAGAATTTGATAACTAACTAAAGGAGAAATAAGAGATTGTAACGGATAATAGTTGTAATGGAGGAACCAATGGAATACGAACAATTTTTGAAAACAGTGGCTCTGGAACGGCAGACAAGGTTCTTTTCATTCAGAATAACATACAATTTCGTAATTTACAATCAAATTTTTGCCTGCAACGAGGTCAATTTTTGGATTCTGGTTCCAGGGACAGGGAATTCTGCTGTCCATCGTTTGTTTCCATGACTTAATTGATATTAGTTTCATTATTTTATTTTTTGGGAAAAAATAGCTGGATTTGATGGCGTTTGTTTTAATTTTTCATTTGTGGAACTTTTCAGTATCAAATACATGATTCTATAGAGCAATAAATGCTATAGTAGGATTTCAGAGGGTTATATCAAATGAAATATTTGATTATAATTTTGTCAAGTTATAGTAAATATGATTTGCTGGATCGGTGGTGCTCAAAGGTTAATGTTGGCCCATGGTCCATTGTTTGAAGACACCTATTCTAGACTAAAACAAATGTCTTATAATAAAGCATATTAAAAAAAATCACAAAACTAATATTTTTTATTATAATTTTTTTGTTTCAACATCAAATTTCTTCTTAGCAAATATTTTAAAAATTTGACATAAAAAATAATATAAAATTATTAATGCTCGTAATTAATGAACCTTTTAAAAGTTCATTTGTAAGTGCAAGTCTTTCACTACTGAGTGTTAAATATACTCTCAAGAGTAAAAGTTGCTAGTGTAAAGGCCTCTGAGAGTTCAAGGGTTCATCATCATCATTAAATTGCTCATGATGTCATCTCACATCACAATAAATATGTAAGCAATCTATCTCTATCTCAGAATAGAACTCTTAAGGAAATTCAAACCTGTTATGAATGAATGAAACTACTCTCAAGAATATGTCTACCATTCTACACAAATTTAGAGTCTGTACTCATATATTTATCATGAACTAACACCTTATTGAACATTTCTTTCAATTTTAAAATAATTAAATTAATGCCAGTAGTTTAATCATAACCTTTTTTTTTTTCTTTAAAATTTTAGGAGAGTTGATTGGTCTCCAATAGAAGATAATCTTCTGCTTATATGCAAAGTGGCTTCTCTATATTTGTCACCGGACAAGAGACGACATGTTGCTAAAAATTTCTGTGCTGTACGTGAAGTCCTACATTCAACATATCCAGTAAGTTTTTCTGAGGACATGCTTTTATTACTCTGTTCGCCATAAACTTTCTTTCATAACTGTTTGATGCATACGATCTGTTCTTTTTACTTTCATAAATAATATATTAAATTATGTTCAAAAGTCACATTTGTTGTAAAATGTGAACTGAAGAATAGGAGATAGATATTTTCTATTTAAAAATCTAGCCATAATATATTAAAAAAAAAAATAGTGAAGAGATCATTTGCTTCTGTTATTTATAGAAACACGCATTGTTAAAAAATATGCTATTACTCATGAGATTACCTGATCCTATGTATTGATGGATTTATATCAGTACCTCATACCTCAAAAACCAACTTACAACATTGTTATTAGCTTACTTGATAATGAGCCATCTTTTTTTTTTTTTTTTGCCTCTTTTTTTTATGTGTGTGAGCGATATTTTTTGTGAGGTCATGATGGTCGAGGTTATGAAGCCTGAGAGGATGATTAAAATGTGCTGGTCTCCTTCAGACCTTTCCCCCTCCTGTTTGTCAAAGCCAGTTATAGGGAACAAGGGGAAAAATATGGTGTGGATGTAGTTGATTGTAGATGTGATTTAGTAATTACAGTTGTCATCTTTCCTTTGATATCTCTAGACTGCCCTGATGAAGGCCTATAACTTAGGTCAAAACGTCAGCACACATTAAAAGTTTCCCTTAATAGTTTGTTTTGCATCATTGATCCCACTCTTTGGTTAAGTTCTCCTTAAACTAATTTACATTATATTATTTTGTATTGGGAGTTGATTTCACACTATTATATCTTTTAGGGGTTGAATTAAGGTTTATATTATCTTGGAAACGTCCACATCATTGTGACATAATATCAAACAAACAAACAAATATAAAAAAATTTGTATTGATTTTAACATATTGTTATATTGGTTTATTATTTTCAATTATCAACCATTTTGATCGAGCAAAAAATTCAAAAACTTTACCTCCTCTCAAAATTTGAGGTTTCACGTTTCAGGATGCATAGAATTCGAAAAACGAATAAAAATTTTTTTGTCCATCCGCCGTCCGCACATTTTCTCTGAAACTACCTGACCAATTTTTTTCAAATTTTGATATAAAATCAGAGGTCACCAGAGGATTATCCTCCTTCATCGGCATTACTATCCGCCTTTTATTTTCAAAATGGCGGCCGATAAACCTGTGTTGCTATAGACTGTAGCTCCTAAACGAATGTACAGATTTCAATGAAACTTCGCTAAAGTCATTTTCTCGACGTCCTTTAAATTTATCCATATAACATACTTCAACGAAAAGAAGCTGGAAAAAAGTTACAAGGGATGGTAAAATTAAATTCCGAATAACTCAAAAAGTTTATACTTTTTTGTTGATATTGTATATGGTTTTTTAAAAAGTTTACAGAAATTTCCTTAAAAAAATCATTAAAATCGGACAATTAGCAGCAAACATATGGTCTCCGGTTTTTTAAAATATTTTCTACTCCAAATGTTATATCCTTGCTTTGGTTTTTAAATTTTGAATGTGTTACTGAAGTAATGCTATTTTTTTTATCATATTACTAATGATTACAAAAAAAAGTTTAGTCCAATAATTGGAATCACCTTTTGTTTATTTTTCTTTGTAACTCGAAAGGTAATGTTACTTTAGATGTATAATTGTTTGGAAATAATAAACCATTGTGAAATAATTTGCAGCGTTTTTTTTTTAAATGTATATAAATAAATTTAATATCAAACATAATTTGTGTAGAGACTATTGACCATGATTATAATTAAAGAAGGAGTTGGTCAGGGGTGCGGTCAATATATAATACTATATATTTTAGTAATATTTTATTGGATCTGCCGACGTTCCAACTTTTTCAACAGAGGTAATATATAGTATTATATATCGGCGACACCCCTGACCAACTCCTTCTCAAATATAATTTATTTTTTTTTTTAATGATAGAATTATATAAAAATTGTATAATTTTCAGTTGTCTAGGAATAAGACTTCAAGAGCTTGCCAGAGGCGAATGAGATATATGATGAAAAACCCTTCTACCGCTCATAGTGTATACTTATGCTTGGAAGAGGTTAAGCAAGACCCAGAAATAAATAGAAAATTTTATGTAAGTTAGTTACCTTCTATTGATCTCAAGCCAGGGGTTTCCAACCTTTTTTTGCCTTAGGGTACATTTGTAGGTTAATAATCAAGTGGTGAGCATACATTTTTTTCTATGTTTTTAGTCAGATTTTCTTTTCTTTTTTTTACTTCAAGTCAAAATCCTATTTTTCTTTGTTTAATATTGTTAATAATAATAATAATAATAAACTAGACTAATTTTAACATATAAAAAGCATTGCTTATTATCAGAATACAAAATAAGTAAGTATTTAATTATACATTAAAAATATGTATAAAATATATAATTTCTTTACAATAGCTGCTCATTATGGCTGTAAAGAAGAGTTCGATAAAGTATACCCAACTGGATTATTAAAATACAGCGATGAAATATTGGAAAAGCTAAAAAACCATAACCTATCTAAGGACATCCATTTATCCATAAATTCCAGCAGCAATCCCATATATTATCCCATACTATTTCCAGCCCAGAGTCCTATTTGATGTATAGAGCTAACATGAAAAAGCTAAGATCAATAAGTCAGTTAAGGGTTTCAAATCCCGAATTAATTAAGCTCTATACGAAAAACAAAAGTTTCTACTTCAAAGTCCAGGAAACCTGCACTTTCTGTAACCAATTCATTACTAACAGCCTGTTCCATATCCTTCTGTACTGTGAAAAGCTAACAGATTACAGACACAAACATTTACAAGCATTTCTCTCTGCACCAAGTGATGTAAACAACATACAAGAGATACTTCGAATCGATAACATAGAGAAACTTAATAAAATTTACTGGTTCATAATGTCAGTGTGCAATTCACTGGATTCCTTAAGCTCTGATGTTCCACACACCAACCAGGTGCTATGACTAAGGATAATTGTTGGTCAGTTCAATTAATTGTTTGTTTCTTTTGGTTTTATTGATAATGTATATAGAAATTAATTGGAATGTAATGAAGTATTATTGTTTAGTTATTGTTTTTATAATAAGTCAATGTACAGTTATGATAAACTAGACTCATGTAGGTGAAATAAAGTTATTCATATATGTATGATTTGTACAAGATTGTAAAATAATCTTTAACAAATAAATTCAATTCTATTCTAATTCTATATAATTTCTTTATAATAGACATATACTCTAAAGATTATATGATATTTACACTGCATTTCTTCGGACAGTGCTTATTAATTTGGAGACATTTATTATAAATATAGCACATAACTTGTGGTTTGATATATTGAATGCAACTTTACCAACTTTATAATTCAGTTTTCATACTTGAAAAAAAAAACATTGGAAAAAAATAATGATGAAGATTTACTGGAAATTATTGTTAAAAAACTATGTTATCAAAAATTGTCGTTTTGAATTAATCATGTTTATTTTATTTTTTTTGTTCTTCCCTTCCTCGCTTTTTAGGCTGTACTGGGATTTTCCCGGAGCAAGAGGTGAGGGAGGAAATTAATGCAATTTAAAAGCCCCTACCACCAGGACGTGAACTCCTAATTATTTTGTCGTTTTTATCTTGATTATCAGGTTGCTGGGCAGCGCGCGGTGCCGTGCACACATGTTAGCCCGCTCGGCCATCCCCACCCCTGGTTTAAACAGAGTTGTATTTTCAATTAATTACTTATTAGACATTTTGTAAAAAACAATAGAACTTGTTGAACAGCATTATTGTGGAATGCAGTTAGGGACCCCTGGCATGTTTTTTTGTGATTATGTATAATAATTATGTTCACTAATAAATTAATTACCTACATCAGGGAGCTATAGAAAAATTGGACGCTTTGCTCAAATCACAAGGGGAAGGCCCTAAAGGTTACCAACAAGAATATGATAAAATATTTGTAAATTTGATTCATACGTTATTCAAAAAATTAAAGAACATCAATAATAGTGACAATACAAATATTGATGTTTCCATTCCAGGATCACTTGCAGAGTTTCAGTGAGTACATAAAATAATATTTTTCTTCACCTTTGATACATTATAATTGTTTTCTTCTAATTGTCGATTAATTATTTTATTATGTAATGTAAACTTTTTATTGTTATTTAATATTTAAATTTTTCAGTTCAAAGTATCAAGTTGTAGTACCACGCACCCTAACCTTAAGGTATGGATCGTTTCAAGAAGTTCATAAAACTACGGATATCTTAGCTTCTGTTGTGAACTCTGTTATACATGTATGTAAAAGAAAGGAATTTTCTTTTATTATTTTGTCATATAACCAAAAATCATATCGTTCTCTACTTTGTTAATTTTTTGAAAATGTTTTCAGAGTTCTTTATGCTGCACTACTGATAAAACCTCTTATTCTCAACATCTTTTTTATATTTATCAACAGTACCCAGACAGATTGTTGCGATCTGTCATGGCCAAATGCCGTGGTATGTCAGTAGTATCATGTCGGAAAAGATACAAACGTTGGAAAACTGCAGGGAGTGATTGTTTACCACTAGCTTCTTCACCTTACCAGCTATCCATTACGTAAATATCATTCCATTTTTTAATTGATAGTTCAACATAGCTTCTGCTTGCAAAAATAATTAGAATTATTTTAAACCCTTAGATTTTTCTAAATCAGTAATCTTCAAAAAATTGTATTTAGCCTTTTTGAGTATTAAAATATTTAATAAATTGAAGTGACTTTTCTGGAAACAAAAATATTATTAAATCTTGTACTTTTTATTTTACAGTTATGTGCATATTCTTCAAACAAAGTACCAATACAACATTTTCAGTGAATGTTACAACGGTTTGAAAAATATGTTAAATGATTCTTCGGCTCTTATGTTAAAAGCCAATGATTCGACTCCTGAGCTGCCTTCTAATAAGTTGGTTCTAAATATTGAAGTTAATTCTGGTGGTGAATGTGCAAATGTTGTAGAGCTTTTTTCTGCTGGATTAGTAAGTATTTAGTAATTATTCTTTTATGAAAAAATCATTTTAATTAAATTGACAGCTTTACAATGTTTTGAAAGTTTTTAATTCATCAGAATATTCCCTTCGTCAATCCTAGAAGTATACACCTACCAGACAGTTGTAAATGTATCCTGACAGTGGGTCACATTCCTTCACATTTATTTTTTATTAACTTATTAGCTATATGTTTTTAAAAATTTGTTTATTGTTTTTCATCTCGTTTCATTACAAATGTCAATCGATACAACTCAATTCCATCTATAATTACAAACTTTTTTCCAGCTTCTTTTCAGAGAAATATATATATATATATATGAATTTAAAAGGGTTTAAGGAGAAGATTATTGTTAAATTTCATTAAAATCATTAGAGCCATCTGTACAGTCTGTAGCAATACGTGTTTTTTTGGCTCTATTTTGAAACAAAAGGTTGGGTGTGGATAGTTATAGTATGTTTATTAAAATACTGGCAGATAAGAATGCAATGTTTTATCAAAATTTCAAAGCTATTAGTGAAATATTTTTTGAGATTTAAGGTTCTGAACAAACAGACATTTATATTTTTATTTTTATAAATGACAGAAAAGATGCTTTCACTGAAAAGTTTAAAAATATTCCTTTCCTCCCCTTTCTACCACCTCAAAAACAATCTTTATATTTCATTTTTTGTCTTTTGGTTGAAAATTTTCATTGAATTATTACCTTTACTTTCTTTTCAGAGTTAAATATTTATGATTGTTGACCCAGAATCTTCTAATTCATGTTTTCAGTAAATTTTTGTATAAATGAATCTTTAATAGAAATAGTAGAATAAACAATCTGGTATACTAAACAAAGAAACCAGCCATAAAATTGGAGCAATTGATGATTCTTTTTTAATTATACCCTGTTCAGTATTGTTTATGAAAATATTTTATTGTTGATAAAGAAATTCCATTAATTGAATCTGTTGTTTGATCTAAGACCAGGCTTGGTTTTATTTTATATAACTGCGGAAACAATCAATTCAAATTTTAAAAAAATATAAGTTAATTTATTATTCTTATTTCATTAACAAATTAAAGCATAATAATTATTATATTAAATGTACCAATAATTATCTGAAAGTATAATTTCTATTACTTTGCTATATACAATTTTGAAAATAAAATCTTTATTTTTTAGATTGAAATGCAAGTTGAATTTCCCGATCAGTTAATCGTGTTAGATCCAAGACTGTCTGAAACAGAAGAAAGCTATAAATTAATTATGAAGGTATGTAATATTGTTTCCACTCTTTCTTTTTTTACTGATTTTTTTTTTTTACATAAAAAGTTTCTATAGGAAAATATTGTCGGAGATTCCAATTTATATGATAATGCAGTCAACACCTAATCTAATGGTGTTATTGCCATGGGTAAATGAAATTCTTGAATAAAAACATATAAAAACATAAGTTGTTGAACAAAAAAAAAAGAATATGTTTCTTCAGTACAAATATGTCATTAAATCTATAAATTAATTTAATGAATTATTGAACAAAGTTAGTCGACTGTTCTACATATCATGGGTGATAAATATTCAGGACGCAGTCATTATAAAGTTTTTATTAGTGCCGACGTTTCAACCCAAACATGTGGGTCATCATCAGGGCTGAAATTTTTTTTTTTAATACAATCAGAGATATAATGTTATACAACAGATAATGGTTAATAATAGAAGAATAGTGATTGAAGATAAATGACATATGTAAAAAGCTATACAAACTAAAAATAATTTATAAAAAAATGTTATATTTTCTGTTACTAAACACAGTTAGTAAGAGAAAATATTACATTTTTTATAAATTGATCATATAAATTATTTTTAGTTTATATAACTTTTTACATCTTTCATTTTTCTATTTAATTTATCATCAATCACTATTTTTTATTATTAACCATTATCTGTTGTATAATATTATATCTCTGATTGTATTAAAAATTTTTGGCATTAATGATGACCCACATGTTTGTGTTGAAACGTCGGCACCAATAAAAACTTTAATCTCACTGCGTCCTGAATATTTATCACCCATAAATTAATTTATATTAAGAATAAGTAACAAATTCTTTAAAATGAATATATTATTGTACTTCAAAAGAATAGAAAAGTAATTACAGCTTCACAAAGTAATTAGAGATTTGTATTTTGGTGAGAAAGCTATTAATTTTAACCTCCTGTTGATTTTTTTACAAAACAAGTTTGTTAGCCTGTAACGCTTCATTGTCTTTCCATAATTAATGAAGGAGAAAGTTTACATGTTTCAATGGTACTTCAGGACCTGTTTGTTGTTTGGTGTTGAATTCGCTCTCTTCTCTTCCAAGTTTGTTATTAACTTTATCAGTACTTCTATACGCCACACTGCATATAGCCAGGAGTTGACTGTAAAAATAATTTCCTGTAGTGTAGATGCTGCATGACATCATTCTATATAGGGTAAGGCAGCTTGAAGGAGAAAAATTTCAGGTTTTGATTTTGCCTATAATTTTCAGCAAAATAGTTGATAAAGAAATGTGTGGTGTGATTCTCAACAGTTTTGGTGATTTTAAAATTGGTCATTTTCCTTTTTCTTAGCTCAACAATTTTTTTTTTTATTATTTAGAGGCTATTAAATACTAAAATAATGTGATTATGAATATTTAACCTGGCAATTAATATTTGAAATTATGGAAGTTTGTCTTTAATTGATATAATTAATTTGTTTTTAGAGATTCAGAGAAATGTTATCCATTATTAAAGATGCCAGGCAGAAGGAAAAGAAGACATTACTGAGTGAAGATGAATTTGATGAAGATGAAGATGAAGATAAAACTATTCCACCTGAAGAAGAAAGGTATAATTAATTGTATCCGTGATGAGTATAGTGGTGTTATTTATAATCATTTATTAGGTGAGATTTATTGGAGAAATCAATATTTAGTTTTTTTATACAAAATCTTTCAAAATTTTATTAATAAAATAAAATATATTCCATGAAATCTCAATCTGTTAGTTCTGATGGGTCACATCTAATTATATTGTACATACTTTTAAAGATTATTTTATGACTGTTGAAAAATAACTGATTATAAAAAAAAAAAAACTCCTAAAAACTTATATGTTTTCTAATTTTTTTATATTTTATTGTTAATATTTTAGTGAGCCTTACTTTGAACAGTTTAACTTAAAAAACAAGGTCGGAGTCGCAAATACCGCCTCTCGTTTGGCTTTATATTTGATGAGAGATGAACCTTTGGAACAGCTGGATCAGAGTCTACAGCATGCCCATGATTACTTTGTCTTGAATCCTTGCAAGGTAATATATATATATTTCTATTAATATTAGTTTATTCTTCGAGTTTTACAACATGTTTTATTTGAAGAGGTAACAATTACTTAGCCATGATAGAAGTTTTCAAACTTTAGAATATCACTATTGTTTAATCCTTATTCAAATGTTACATTTATACTATTTAATATTATTATTTTTAACTGTGATTAATGATTCGTTTAGTTATTATAATTATAATTGTAACCAGAGGTAACAATTAGGAAGAAAAAATAATAGAAGGATTCCCTCCATTTGTTAAAATGTTAATAATTGTTTTACAAATGTCATATATCAAGTTAAATACTTAGTTTTAGTTACATTCTTTGTTCGGGACTGTTTCAAATTTATATTGAAAAATTTGTTATTGACAATATTGTTACTGAAATGGCAATGTTGTTATACATGTTACTGAAAAAAGTAACAATATTAAAAGCATTGTTGGACTTCTTCAATTTCAGGTAACTGCTCAGATGGACAAGACTGAAGTTGAGAATACTATTTTTTTCAAAGAAAATAAAATGAAAATCTTGTCAGACATTAAGAGGTAATATTTAAAACTTATGACAAACCTGTATTCAATCGTCTTATCATACTTCTTTCTCATTCTTTATTTAATTATTTTAGGTTATACACTTTCCCAGGAAATGAAGTTGAAATTGGCCGTATTATTGATAGTTTAAAAACTGATTTTCCTGAAGAACTTATTGTTTCATTGTTGAAATATTTAGAAAGCAAAGGTGATCTCGGTGCAACATTCAAAAACATTAAGGTATGATTCAAACATTTATTATATGTTTCTGCCAGAACATAAAAAGCTCTCTTAAACAACTCTAATTATTAAGACGTATAATAATAATTTAATTATACGTTAATGTCAGAAAATAAAAAGCCCTCATGTAAATATGTTAAAATAGTATCTTAAAATGTTAGTAGTCAAAATAGAAGTTGACTAGTGCCTTTTGAAAAATTATGCCAACCTTTTAAGTAGTCCCTGTTGGGATATTCTGGATCATAAATTATTCTCATTCATTTTTATCTAACCCTCTAAGTACTGAGTGTATTTTTCTCATGAAATGCTAAGTATCAAAGTAATAGGAAGCTCAAATTATTTCATCCAATTACCTTCTTTAAGTTTCTGTTATAACGATTAAATTGTTTCAGGTTAAATTTGGTGAATCTAAAGAAATTGTTGAATTGTTGTCAAGGCTTGTTGATGAACAATATATATTAAAGACAGGAGTGATAAAAGTTCGATATGTGCATCCCAAATTCTGCAAACCATGGCTTGTTAAATCATTTCACCTTCTTCGACATAATCGTGAAAACATGGAAACTTTCAATACTAATTCAACGTACACAATATCATTTATCAACAGTGACAAGAAAAAAAGAAAAGCCAAGACTGAAACAGCAGTAGATGCAAATCAAAGTAGTTCTATAGTTTCTGAAGAAATAAAAAAAGATGAGCCTCTTGCTAAAAAAATTAAACCAAATGAAATCAGCTCTAATAATATGGAAATTGATTCAGTCGATCTATCTAATAAGGAAGATGGATTAGTTGATGAAAGTTGTTCAGCAGTCCAGAACGTTGAAAACAAAAGAAAACATGAAGGAGATGATAGTAATTCTGAGGCACTGCCAAACAAAATAGTGAAACTTAGCGAATCTTTAGAATGTGCACCGGCTGAAAAAATAGATTTTGAAGAATCAAAGACCGGCAGTTCTGCTGCAAATGAAGGAAACATAAGCTCCATTAATTCTGAACTAGCTGTTTCAGACACATTACCTCAGCTACCTGAATCTACAACTGATTTGGATAAATTTAATATAGAGTCTATTCCGTGTGCTGTTGATACAAATGAAAACGAAGCCATCCCAATTTCTGACCCACCTGTTTCAAACATCTCTTGTCAGTCACCTAAACTTGCATCTAATTTGGAGTCTGATCATTGTTCTGTTGAAACTAAGGAAAATAGTGAATCTTCTTCCACTTCAGATTCACCTGTTTCGGACATCTCTTCCCAGTCACCTGAATCTCTTTCTAATTTGGAGTCTGCCCCATGCAATGTTGGAACAAAGGAAAATAGTGGATCGTCTTCCACTTCTGATATACCTATTTTGAAAAACTCATCTCAGTTGCCTGAATCTATTTCTAATTTACAGTCTAATCTGTGCATTGTTGAAAATAAGGAAAATTCTGAATCCTCTTCTACTTCAGATTCACCTATTTCAAACTCGCCTCAGTCACCTGAACTTGTATCTGATTTAAAAATATTTAATACTGGCGCTGTTGAAAATAAAGAACCTCTATCTGATTTAGAAAAACCTAGTATGGGATCTAATTCATGTGCTACTGAAAATCAGGAAAATAATGTCACCTCTTCAACTCCCCAATCATCTGTTTCAAATAACTTGTTGCAATTACCAAAACCTATATTTAATTTGGAAACATTTGATATGGAATGTAATTCAGGTAAAGTTGGAACTACGGTAGATAGCGAATCCTCTTCAACTTCTCAACTACCTGTTTCAAATAAATTGTTGCAATTGCCAGAACCTATATTTAATTTGGAAAAATTTGGTGTGGATTCTATTTCAAATTCAGTTGTAACTACTTCTCAGACAGCTGTTTCAAATAACTCTTCGCAATCGCCTGAGAGAACGTCTAATACAGAAAACACAGAAGAGGCATTGGAAGAGAATTCACGTGTTATAATGAAGGCTACAAGAAAGAAATGGGTTTCGATGTCTAACGAAAATTTTAGCCAGCTTACAAAGTTTGATGCATCGTAAGTATATTTATGATTACTATTATTTACTTAAATTGAACTCATTATTTTTTCTTATTTCATTGACGCCATTACTTTTTTAGAGATGTGAAAAATGTTAATATTGTAACTCGGCCATGGATAAAAGTAGATGGTAACTTGAATCGGCGTGTTCTGGACAGGATGCTCGGTTCTGTTTTGGGCCATTGCTTAACTTGCCCTGGAATAACTGTCCAAAAACTTCAAGAAAGATTTACACCGGCTCTACAGCCAGTTCACACTTTTGAACTAGTTGAGGTAGTAATAAATTATCTTTCTTTTTATATAAAGTAGAATCCTGATAATTCATATTTTTAAGGTTCTAGGGATAAATATAAATCATAAAAATATTTTAATTAGAGGGGACGGGGTGGCCGAATGGGCTAAAGCGTGTGCACAGCACCGCGAGTTGCCTGGCAAACGGATTACCGATTTGAGAAGATTTAAAACGTATGAGTTCGCGTCCCGGTGCCGGAGGGGATTTTAAATTCCCCGCCCTCACCCTCCGATTAATAAAAAAATTAATTATCAAGATTTTCTATAATCAGGAGTAAAAAATATGAATTAAGTAAAAAAAAATGTAATGTATTTGTATGTATTTTACCTAATTTTATATTTTATGTATGCATACATAAATACAAATGATAAACTTTCTCCGCTAAGCTCCATTAGCTCAAAAGTCCTGCATATTTCCTGCAAAGTGTTTAACTTTTACTTCAATATGTTTTTTCCAACTGGCACATTGAAATTGTTGGCTTGGGCTAACGATATTTTTATATAGTTTTTTAGTTCTGAGTACTCACCTATCTTGTAGCACTTTAAATTTCTGTGCGATATGTGAAAGGTTATTTTTTGCTTGGTTTGCAAAATTTATGTAATTGTCGAATTAGGAAGATAAGACATAGGAAGAAAATATGTATTTACGAATTGTTGAGGGATTGCATTATTTTATATGAATTACAGAGATTTTTTTGGGACTATCAAATCCGTTCAAATTATTGGGATTCCACTTTATTTGTGTATTAATTGTTTTTTCCTATGTTTTTAATTTTTATAATATTTAGTGGTAAGCATGGCTAAGTTTTAAACATGATTGAAGCAAAATCTGAATAAAATCGTTTAGGAATCTTTTCAAATCTTATATAGGTTGATACCCAGTTTTTATTTTAATTAAGCCATGATAAATCTGCCATATAAGATTTTTTTTTTAAAGTTGAGAAATATTTTGTTTGAGACCTAAATCCTTAATTTGGAAGAGTATTTGGTTGGATATTTGTTTGTATCAGATTGTACATTATATAATAATTGTACATTATAAAAATATGATGGTCAAATTTAAATACAAATGTTATATTTGCTTATTTTTTTTTAGATTTTACAACGTATTGGATGTGTGAAATTATTTACAATGAAGAGATCTTGGAAATGTACCCTTTTTTCGAAAAGGGCGACTGTATCAAAAGGTAATTTATTGTTGTTTATAAATTTACAATTGCATTGAATTTAGAGTAATCGGATATAAACACTTTAACGTGCCCTCAAGTCGAGAGATTGGATGTAATCTGAAATGGGTGTGGCTATATAATCTAGGCATTACATAAAAGGAAATTAATAAATATGAATGTTTACAGTATATCGGCAGCCATCATGCAAAAACCTGTAAGTGCACAAAGTAAAATTATTCATAAGACAGAATAAATTACATGTTTCTGATTATATGAACTACAATTTCTGTTCAACTTTAACTACATACTTGTGGAAAAGATGTAACCTTTTTAGTTTGTATTTCTAACTAGACTAAACTGGAAACTAAGATTGACCAGAAATCTCAACTCAAAACAACATGTTCTAATAAAATTGTACTTATAGACTTTTGCAGTATGGCTGTTTATCTCTTTCTCTATAATGGTCAGTTGAGGATCCTGTAGACACACCCTCTTAACCTATTTGAGTTTCTACATTCTCTCGTCTCGAGAACAGGTTATAGTGTTTATATCTGATTACTCTAAATTCAGTGCAACAGAATTATTGTAAACAATTACCATGTAAAATCAATACTTCAATCTATATTTATTAAATTTAATTATACTCCTGTAAAAGTTTATGTTGTACGGCTATTTCTTGGACATACTCAATTTTTTAGTTGGGTTTTTTGTAAGCTGAATTAATCCAGCGATCCTCATCTTTTGCCAAAGATTTGATCATTACTATTCTTGCCATATGATTATTGTAGTCAGATCACAATAATCTTTTAATTTTTTCACAGTATAATAACGAGTACGCCCGAACTTACCCGAAAGAGTAGAACAGGCTTCCATACGTAACATGAGCTTAATATAATATGGATTCCGACAATATTATGTACATATACATATACGGTTCTCATAAATGCTATCGTTGGTGTTATTTAATATTTAATTTTATAGATTACAGTGATATAAACATTATAATTTGTATATATAAGGGTAATTAAACAAAGAAAAATGCTCACAATGAAATGTAAACAAATATAGCATATATAATTTTTACTCTCACTTCCCCTTTGTCTGAAAATACTTATTTCTACCAAGAGGGTGATAAATGAAAGTCATGTGATGCGTGCACTAGATTTTTTCAATCATAATGATTGAATGATACATTCCGTAGTTCAAAGTGGAGTTCTCATTTTAGGAGAAGGTTTGTGTGTGAATTATGAAAGTATAACCTCCCAAAATGAGTACCATATTTTGGCTCTGGCTATTAGAAATATTAATTTGATAGAAATCTGGTAATTGTTGTTTGAGGTTTATTTTATTATTCTTTTTTCATATGTATTAATTTTTATTCTATTTGTTCTTTTACAGAACCATCAACTGGTCTAGAAAATCCTGCTGATATGTTGATTGATACTGATCCACTTGCAATATCAAAGTTGGGTTACTTCATTGGAGATAAGAATTATACAATTGACTATCTCGATGCCCTGACTGACTCAAAAGTTGGTTATTAAGAGAAAGAACTTCATTCCAATGTATAAATGTACATATGTGAATTGTAAATATGAAATTGTGTACTTTGTAAATCATTATTATTTTCAATAAAAATATTTAGAATTTTGTTTTATTCATCGTTTTTCTTTTTTTAAATTTAAAGCTTTGAAAAAGATAATTTTCAGATTGTCAATTGAAGGAATATACTCTATATTAGGTTTGTTCAATTTTTACTCCACCAAATAAATTTCAAATGAAGAAATGGGTGATTATGTTTTTAAAAAAAAAATCTAATAGCAAACTTTTATTTCTACCTAATTTTAAAAACTAATAGGTGGATAGTTAAGTTAAGGATCATTTTGGGATTATTACTAATCATTTTGATGACAAACTTTACCTCTAAAGAATTTACAATATAGAAGGTAGACACCACAAATTGAACCTTAGCCAAAAGAAGCAAGAAGATATATAATTATGAAGTAACTATATATATATACAATTAGAATTGTGTGAACATTGGATGTAAACAAATATAATCACTATAAGGTACTACAGTAACAGTAAAGGAATAATATCCAATTTTTAAAACTTTCTAGTCTTATATTTATATAAACTTCTGTATAAATACAAAAATAAAAAAGTTTTGCAATAGTAAAGTAACTCAATAGAGTGGAATGATACACAAGAAAGTTTTACAATTAGATAAATTAATCTCTTTCTGAAATATATTGGATTTCTTTGAACTTTCTTAAAAGATTTTCCAAGATATTTAGTTTGTTGTGAATTTAATGTAACAAAACAAAAAATTAAGAAAAATAATCCATCCAATTAAACGATGGATTCTATATTTGTGATGTATTTATTACCAAACTATTCCATAGTTCTTCTAAAACCATCAATACATATTTAGTCTAGGCGGTGAGTGCGATTGAGTACGCAAAAATCTCCACCGTGGTTTATCTTAAAATTCTTGTCCAGGTTGTCCTACTGACTAAGAAACTCTATGTTGCCACCTCAAAATGTGGCAGCTTTAGGCTGTAGGGGAGGCAGATGCTCCAAAGTTACTATCCCCTGTAACTCGACCATGGATCATCATAGAGACTCGAATATGGACTCAAATTGTTTATATTTTAATTCTGAGAAATTTATGTTACTATATATTTTCTGATATTAATTAAGCGAAGAATTTGAACAAATTGAGAACGAGTTCCACAGGGTGTGTTCCGGAGTTCCAATTTGCTCATTTCACTTAATTATTATCAAAAAATATGTAATGAAAATTTCTCAGAATTAAAATATAAACAATTCGAGTCTCTACAATGATCCGTGCTCGAGTTATAGAGGATAATAACTTTGGGGCATCCGTCCCCCTCCAGCCTAATCCTACCACATTCTGATGTGGCAACATGGAGTGTCTTAGTCAGTAAGACATCCCAAGACAATAATTTAATTTAATCCATAGGACAAGAATTTAAAGAGACACCGTGGTACAGATTTTTGCACTCTCAATCGCATTCACCGCCTAGACAAATTATTCTTTGTATTGTCATGAACTATATTTATTAACAAATTTTACCAGATTAAAATTACATATGTGTTTGATATTCATTCTTCATGTCCGTCTGTATTTCCCCAAGGCTCTTTCCGGAAGTCTCAGGTAAGAAAAAGTACATACAGATTGCACCGAACAGCGACACAGCCGCCCATATCCAATAGTTGAGGTACACTCCTACAGTGTCCTGCAATTATTAATTTTTGGCATTATTGACTAGTCCATAATTTAAATATCGAATTGTTTCATTAACCTTTTATTCTTATAAATTATTGTGAACTACATCATTTATTTATAATATGAAAGTAACAAGCTGTATAACAGTAGTAAAAATTATACTGAAATTCGATAAATTTACTTAATATAATTTTCTTTTTTCTTTTTTCCTGGGAAGTTGTCAATTTATTAAGTTGCTTGGCAATAATAACTTCCAATTATTAACAATACGAGTATATTTTTTAACATTACATGTTACAGTCTAGTTGACGTTTCGGGACCTTTTATTCCCATCTTCTGAATTGCAGTTCTGAAGATGGGAATAAAAGGTCCCGAAATGTCAACTAGACTGTAACATGTAATGTTAAAAAATATACTCGTATTGTTAATAATTGGAAGTTATTATTGCCAAGCAACTTAATATAATTTATTTATTTGATACAACAAATTTTTTTTATTCCAATAATTGTCAATAGGTTGAGGAAAACATTAGTCCCATAGTAAACCAACAGATGGAGTAAACCACAAAGTAAAATGGCTAGGCCATGTAAAAATGGACAGGAACTTGAAAAATATGGACTATGTCCCTAAGGGTGATAGAAACAGTATAATTTGAACTTGTATTGATCTATCAACTTACCACCATTCCAGTATTAAAGCCTCGCCAAATTTTTATACTGACTATATTTATTTTAGAAAGAAAAACAAAAGCAGAGAGTACGATTGCTGCAACCTGGATCAAAGATAATTAGATAATAATTACGAGTTCGCTTCCTGGTACTCCTGGAAGGGACTTTTAACTCTGACATTAATCCCTGTCTTCACCCCTTGGCCCGGGAAAACCCTGTATAGCCTAAAAGGCAAGGAAGGAGAGGATTAAAAATAAATAAAATAATAATAATTTAATCGATCTTTCAAACAATCAGGGATTGTCAGATAGTGTGAAAGACAAGGAAATAGATATCGAGAAAGACAAGGAAAACCTTGTGATATAAGTGACTAAAAAAGGTATGAAGTGATATAGGGATTAGTGCCTTTTAGTTTTTACAATATAGTACAAATCTTAATTATTGAGGCATTAGAGATTAGAGAAAGTGCTTTCAAATCTCTCCATTTAAGAATATTAGATACTTAAATTATTAGAATCTAGGTCATCTTACTTCAGCACACAAGTTTTGGATAGTTAGCTAGAAAAATTTACACTTAATAAAACTAACGGCAAAATTATAATAATGATTCAGATTGATACCTATAGGGGCAATATAATACAACAATCCGTTATACAAAAAAATAAAATAAAACTTGGGGATTTCTTTAAATCTTGAGTGAGTGAATTTGATAGCTGTGATATATCCAAACCATAAATTTACTGTTTTGCCTAATTTCACCTCGATCTAACATGTTTACTTAATTTTATTGTAAATGCACCATTAAATGTAAAACCAGTCAATGTGAGAAAATGTAAACAAACTTAGGATAGATTAAATTCAAAACCGTTAAAAATATATTTCTGTGATGTCAAAAGCTTTAAGGGTATAAAGTATACCAATACCCAGTTATTACATAGCATACCTGGATTAATTGGTATTGCTTGATTGATAGGAACGTTGCTGTAGAGCCAACAACTAGGGTTAGAGCTCCTCCTATTCCCCTAGTCCTAGCAGTGAAGAACTCTGCTTGGATTGTCTGCAACAATGGGCCCACGCCAACATTTGCAGCGATTATAAATCCAATAACAGATACATACAATATCCAAACATATGGAGACACGTCGAATGCCGTTTCGAAATCCAAGAAAAAGTACCCACCGATAAGAAGTGGAAAAATAAAACAGCAGAAACACGAATAGATGAGTATAGGCCTTCTTCCGACGTTTATCGAGAGCAGAGAGGAACTGAATGTAGCAACAGTCAATAAAACGCCCGTGATGATGGTAAGTTGGTTATGGTCCAAGAACTTGATGGTGCTCTCGCCAAAAGTCTGGGACACATAGTTGGCAAATGCTGGCATGCCGCCCATGTACTTGGTGATGGAACACACTTGCACAACAAAAAAGGCCTTCCGATCTTTCTTTGTGTGAAACAGGTCTTTCCAAGATCCTGAAAATCAATAAATGAGAAATATATTGTGTTCATTTTTCAAAATTAAAATTATAAATAAAAAATAAATTGTCTGCTTCATGTACCTTGTTCATAAACTTCCCTTTCGATGGTTGCTTCAATTTCTTTGAACTCCTCATTTACTTCTTTCCCACCCCTCAACCAGGATAAGGCCTGCTTTGCCTCTTCAGTTCTTCCTTTCATTATCAGGTAGTAGGGCGACTCTGGCATAAAGATGAAAGTAGTAGTGAACAATAGTGGTATTGCGAGACATACAAGAGCATAAGTTGAGTAGCTGATGTAAGGGCCAATGCAGTAGTCGTAGAAACAGCCAACGAACCACATAGTTTGTATGTGACAGGAGGTGCTCCCCCTCAGGCTAGGCTCAGATATTTCGGCGATGTAGATTGGGCCAACAACGTAGGCCAAAGCCAGGCATAGTCCCTGGATCTGACGCAGTACAAACAAGGCTGGTAGTGAACGTACGTACGCCAGGACGATGAACCCCAGACCGCAGGTTGGACCGACGAACAGTATTGGGTACTTGCGGCCCACTCTGAAATATTTAAAAAATCAATTTAATATGGGTAATATTTGTTTTGTTGTATTATAAAAATTGGGTAACTTTGCTCGCGTCCGCACATTGTATACGTGCCCTCCGGTTATAACTAAATGAGCAATATTGTCGCCGCGAAGACAGTTCAACATCATAGAATCCACAAAAATATGAATCCATCAAAATTAAGGAAACCAAAATGTCCAGTCAACACACAGTTTAAGGCTATGTTCAGGAACGCTGGTGGCCTAACTGCTGACAAATTCACAGAATGGAAGACGATTATTAGAAAGGAGGATGCTGATTTATATGGGATCGTAGAAGCTGGCTCATCCACTGAAAATATCCAGTTCTACCAATTACCGGGATATCAAACTTATAAACTGCAGAGATCCAGGCAGGTTGCATCAGGAATAATTGTCGCTGCTAAATCATCCCTCAAGGTAACCTTTTCAATTAAAAAGAAGATGGAAGAGAATGATAAATTGGAGGCTGTACAGTTAGATGTATGGAAAAGGATTCATGGCGGAGTTTTATTGGGCTGCAGGAACGGCAGAGGCGTTTAATAAAAAAAAATGTTTTGTCTATGTGTTAATTAAACCCTTCTATAAATTTAAACGCAACAATTTTTGTATAAAAAATAGAAACTTTTTTCGTCATTGCTGAACAACATTGGATTTAATAAAAAATTTAATTTGGGTTGCTCTTTTTTGATTTTGCAACTCTCTCTGATGCATTTCAGCTTATAGGAAAGTTTGGCGAAGATAATCTCTCTTGGATAATCTATTGTTTCTTGGCTTGCCAGAGATTTTCTTTGGTCATCATCGGTCTTCTAAGATAAAGAACGTTAATCGGTGAGACTCTCAGAATGCCTTCATCCAGTTGTGTTTCTCTACTATCCTTTCACTACTAGTAATATAGTAATTGAGAGTTTGCTGAACTTTGTTTTCTACTTGCTCCAAATATACTATGAATGATAGGCTATCAAACAGCCTGTAGGCAACAGCTTTCCAAATATTCCAGAATTCGCCATCAAATTAAAATCAATCCCTCAAGAATAAACCAAACAATCATCTTCCCTCATTTTTTTAAATTTCTCAAGGTTTTTTTAAGTTTAACTTTAAAATATTTAAGATATTAAATAAATGCTTAAGATATTTTTCAAAATTTCATTCAGATTCAACATACAGTGAAAAAATAAACCTCACCTATCGCTGATCATACCAGCTGGTATAACAAAAAAAAGACATCCTAATTCCATCGAAGAAACCAACCAGGAGGTCTCTGTGGTTGTCATTGGAACTTCGGACTCAGGAGACACGATATACAGCAGCAGAGGAGCATACCATACAAATGCTGTTGCTGTTATGGCTACCGAAAGAGAACCTGCAATGGATACTTACTATACTTCTAAAAATGACAAATAAAATATTTTATCTGAAAGTATGAATAAATCCAAAATCTATAGAAGGAAGAAATATAGTTGTTATTACTTTACAAGATGGACCAAGATCTAATGACCACACTATAATTAAACGCTTTATTTGTATTTCAAGTTATGAGTTCCGCAAACTCCCTACTGGCCCTCTTCTGTTCAAATCTGAGCTTTAATCGGTCCTTTAGATTTCCGTTTGCAATGCTCCTTCAAAAGAGACAAAACAAATCTCCAGCAGGTCCTCTTCAGTTGAGGTAGGTCCTCACCAGAAGATTCGGCCAATTTCGGATATACAGGAATCCATTACATATTACAGCGTGATCAAGAGATCTTGTGCCTCCAACTCCATTAAATTGGAACAACACTTGTGGTATATTGCTGTCATTGAAGCATACATTATACAGCCTTGGCCAAAAGTATTAGGCTCCCACATATCTTATTAAAACAAAGTAAATGGGGATAAATTCATTCATTTATTCATCACATATGTTTATGTAAACATAAAAAAAAGTCCTTATCCTTTTTGGTATAGAATTAATAAGTGTTGAACAATCTTCTTTGTCTATTATTTCCCATTCTTCTTTTAAAAGCGGAAACAAGTTGTCATTCTTTGTTGAGTTATGTTTACCAACAACAATTTTAAATTTACAACATAAGTGCTCGATCGGAATGAGGTCTCAAGTTCCTTAATATTGTATTTTTTCAAACCATTCTTTACTTTTGCGTGAATCGTGGTATGGCGCATTATTCTTTTGATAAATAATGTTTTCTGTTTCATCAATACAAATCTTTTTTTCAAATGAATTCTTAAAAGGTTGATTTAGCATTGATATGTAGGTATCGCATTCATCCTCCCTTTGCATAAAAAGATTTCCCCAACACCCAAATCCCCTGTAAAGCCCCAAATCATTATATTTCCCCAATCATATTTTACAGTAAGGAAAATAAAATCTGGGTGATAGGCTTCGCCTTCCTTACTTCGTACGAAAACGGTACCAAGAGTTATAAAAATATTTGGAAAATTTGACATTTTAATGAATTTTTAAAAATAAATATGTTTGTGTGCATTAAGTTTATTTAAGGGAGTTTTTACATTTTTTAATTTCAATATACTATAATTTAATTACCTCAAAGTCACTTTCAACAGACCAAACCGGCTTTGTTTAATCTTGAGCACTCCAGCTTTGGGGAAATTTTGCCCAGCTAAGCCTCTCCTTTCTATTGGCGTCACTAAGCCATGGCTTCTTCCTGGCCTCACAGCCTTTCAGAGCCTTTTCTACCAGTCGTCTAACTGTCCATGCAGAAATATCAACAGGAAACAAGATTTTCATCTCTTTAGACAGCTATTGTGATGTTTTCTTGCGATTTTGAAGATATGTTCTCACCAAAAACCTTTCCTCACGTACTCTTGTTAATATTATCTTTCTTTCTGTTCTAGATAATAAGGAATATGTTCTAACGTCCGGTGTCGTATGAGCGTCTATTGAACAGTACAAAGAAATTACTTTATAGTGTTAGGTTTCTCGGATTGGGTATAACCATCCGACGACATCAAAACTATCTTTGTGCGTTCACTCTCAGTCAATTCTTTTACCTTTATCATTTTTAATTTTTAAAAATATAAATTTTTTCTAATAAAAATTATTAAAATAAAACCAAAACATTCACTGTTATTATAAAAAAAGCTAACACTGTACTGATAACTTCTTTTCACATTCTATTATTTTTCTCTAAAGTATTAACTAGAAGGAAGGGGTGAATATAATCCATATAAGAGCTCCATTTTAGTCAACAGAACAAGTTTTGGAAGCAGCAGTGAATATAGAATTTGTTATTAAGGCGAAATAGACAATTTTGACTGGTGCCTAATACTTTTGGCCAAGGTTGTATTTGTTTAAAATAAATTTATAATTTGTCATGTGATGTTCTGGTTTGTCAAATAGGGTTTTAATTGCATAATAACTTGAACTTTGGATGATTGAAATTAATTTAATGTTTAAAATATTCATTTAAAGAAAACAATTTCCTCTTCAGGCATTACATAATTTATAATTTATTCTGTAATCACTAATTGCAATCTATAATTAATTATAGGGATAAAGGAAGGAAATGAGGGATTAATTCTTTTTAAATTAATAAAAACATCTTAATGATGAAGGGTCAGATGAAACCTCATAACTAAACTTTCTTTATCATCAGTCACTATTCATCATAGCTTATCAATCGGTATTTTACTTTAATTGATTTCTTGTTTATTAGTTTATTCTTCTTATTTTAAAAAAAAATCTCAAACATTATAAGTCATTAGGATATAATTGGAAAACTTCTGGTATAGATAGACACACAGAAGAAGGAGGTGATGCTCAAACTGTTAAGGCCTCATAACCTTTACAACTAATGGAACACAAAGAGCTGTAATCTAATGCAATCTAGAGGGACAAAAGGCGAAATTACGTACAACGCTTTTAAGTTCTAATTTGATGTAGTCAGGAAAAGAAGAATAAGATTGAACAAATATAAACATGATGGTAAATATTGAAAATTGAGAAGCAATAATCTAGTGAAAAGTAACTCCACAAACGTTGAACTACATTTCTTAAACATTGAGCTGAAGCAGTTTAATTTTCCCTAATATAGATTTTATTTTTAAAAACGTTGGAAATCATTACACAGTGGCTTATTATATTCTAAATAGTTATATATCAAAAGTAACAATACTTTCCTTGTCACTTAGAGGAAAATAAAATTAAGTTGATAGCTAATATTGGCCTCAATAATTTTTATTTTTTCATCATCAGTAGTTTTCTGTGAAATATAGGCAATCTCGGTTCCTCCAGTTGATGTCCTTTGGAAAATTCCGTAAATTATTAGATGATGAAACAATATTTACAAAAAAAAAAAAAAACGAATTCTGTCTGAGTTATACGAAAATATAATTTTACCGTTCTTCGTAACTTTTTTTCCAACTTCTTTTTGGGAAAGTAAGTTAAAAACATAAATTTAAACGGCTTCGAGGAGAAGACTTTGACCAAGTTTCATTAAAATCGGTACATTCCTTTAGGCGCTTCAGTCCATATGTCGTAGATTTTTCAGCCGCCATCTTGAAAGGAAAATATTTTTTTGTAAAGCATGTCATATACATAAATTTTAATAAAATAGTGGAGAATACTTTAGTCAAGTTTCATTGAAATCGCTACATCGTTTAGGCGCTGCAGCCTGTAGCCCTACAGGCTCTTCAGCGGCCATCTTGAAAGAACAGGGCGGATGGTAATGCCCGGATCATCCTTGGGTGCCCTTTGCAATTGATGCCAAATCTCAAAATAATTGGTCCAGTAGTTTGGGAGAAAAGCTACTTAGGCAGACAGATAGAATTTTTCTTTTATCGATTTTCGGAAAAAAACCCAAATGTTGAAGTGTTGTTTTTTTTTTCCATGGTAGATTATAAAGGTTTATTATTAAAAATATTAAACAATAATAAGGGCTTTAACATTTTTTTTTGCTTCAAGATTTTAATCAAAATCCAATTTTGCCAATTTCTATTTTACAGTACTTGTAGCTCTTTTGCCTTAACCAACCTTCCCCATCTCTGCTTATCTTTCCAGTTCCTCACTAGCGGATCCAGGATTTAATTTTGGGGGGGGGGGCTTCAGCCCGAAACCTTTTTTTTCATAAAAATAACGATAATTACTTTGGAAAAACAGAAAGAAACTAACTACCTATATGAAATGGTGTTTAAGTTATTCCTTAAGTACTTTTAAATGTAATTACACTAACAATAATACTTTAAGAGGTGTTTTTTAAATTTTTTTCCCATAAAACATGGTTATATTTTTTCCATTTTGGGGGGGCTTCAGCCCGAAAGCCCCCCCCCCCCCCCGTAGATCCGCCCGTGCAGTTCCTTGCATGAACTTCATCTATTTATATATTTTTTTTGTTATGTTTATATTGGTTTGTTTATATACAACATCTTTGTTGAGAGTTTTAAAGTATTAATATCAATATAATGAAAGTTTCATAATGTTGTTAGAAATAATGAAATAATCTTTTCTTTAAAAAAAGAATGAATGGTTGTTTCAAAATACTGTAACTTGCATGAAATCATTGTACACCTCAATATTCTATAACTAATCCTTTCACCATAGGATATAGTTTACATATTTATTAGTTTTAGAACATGATTTTTTTGACTGGAAGAAATTAATTAATTAATTTTAACAATTTCTGTTGCAAAAAATTGTGGTGATGAGAATTATTTTTTATAATTTTATAATTATTTTCTTACATTGTTGCCATGATTACAGAGGTATGGAATAACTACAAGCCAAAATAATACTTAAATTATTTATGAATAATTTTAATACAGAGGAATAAGCTTTGTATCCTTACCTTGGAATTAAATGCAATTTAATATATTAATGTATATTTTTAAATGCACATTGAATTAACATTTAAATAATTATTAATTTTTACATAAATAAGTATTATAATTATAGAACTATCGAAAAAACAAGTATTAATTTATTATCATTCTTCAAAAACTAAATACATGTGTCAGTACAAGCATGTGGATTATCATCAGGGCTGAAAATTAAATATAAGATATAGATAGAAGTAAATAAATAAGCAAACGTAAAAAGTTACACACCAGATCTACAGTAAGAAACAATAAAATAAAGATAAATAAATTAATGAATAGTATAAATAAATAAAAAGTAAGCATTCATCTTAATGCCTACTTCTTATTTATTTAATCTAGCTTCTAAGATTTGTTTTTAAACTTTTAAATTTACATTACTACAAAATATAGATAAAATTATATTGAACCCCCTGTCCCCCTAAAAGCAGACCAATCCCCATTATACAACTACTCATTTAATTGTACCAATCGTTGCTCTAATTGCATAACTACTATTTACATTTATTCTGTAGTTCGGATTGTATTATTTTTTTTCTCAACATAAAACAAACTAAATGAAATTACAATTAGGACAAATTTTGAATTTCTTTAAAAATGTATATTGTTCATCACACCTTATTGCCAAATTAATTTATTATATAATTATAATTATTCTTATTGCCAATTTGTAACCATAATATATATTCAACTTGTCCAGCTTCATATAAGCCTAACATCAATTTGAGCCCTTTATTTCTAATATTTTCATTGTTTGTTATATTGTGCTTCCTTTTCTATTATATAATAATTATAGTTATATCACAATATAATATAAATAAGGTTATATATAATATGATAATTAATATATTGTATTCAAGAGGAAAATGTCTAGATTGAAAAATAACTGAGATCACCTAGGTAAAATCAAACTACCCTTTACATATCAACACCATTTTCTGTACAAATTTTTGTTCTGAAATATTTTTTTTGTATTAGAAGAATATGAGCTTACAGAAGCTCAGAACATATGTAATTAAATGAACAGCTCTATAATTAGTGCTAGTTATAGAGCTAATAGGAAAGCTCCTGTATTCTCCTAATCTTCTGCTACTAAAATGAAATAAAATATGAAAGCCACTAAAAACTTTCTTATATAATAGAGATATAATTATAATTATATCGTATATAATAATTATTTAATATCTTTACATAGCATTTTTTTATTTTCACTTACGTATATATGAAATATATAGTAAGTGTAAATATTGCGATCGTGAACATTTTCTAGTCTGATTAACGGAAATACACGTTTTAAGGTCCCCGGGGTCCAAATAACCAAGTCCCGAAAAATGGTGAAATTTTTTTTGAGTATTTTTTTTTTAAATTAACATAGATCGAAGAGAAAACTATGAAATATATCTTGATAATTGTCATCAATAGATCAGTAAAACTAAGCACGTATCGTAAAGATTAAAAATAATTCGCGTGTATCCCCTATTATATCTAAGGTGTTGCTAGAATACATTAAAATAGCTAGAAGTTCAATTCTCCGCATTACATTTTGAGCACAACAAGTACTATAAAATTACCCAGTCGGTACATTTATTTTGAAAATATTAAAAATATAATAATTTCTCTTCCAATTTTTAATATATTGATGAAAATAAATTTCAATACTAACGCATATATTTTAAGGATTTCTCATACTTACATGATATGGCAGCCATGTGCTGCCTTAGAGTAGATAGTTGCATTGCTACAATAATTTCCAAACTGACTGAGCTACAGGTTAGGTATAAAGTGGTGGGGAGAATTATAAATATAATTGTTGTTTAAAAAAAATTAATTTGTTTTTGTTTGTTTAAAGAAAAAATAATTTTAAAAAGGAATTAAGTGCGGAGAATGAGAAAACAACATTTAATTAATTAAAAATTGATTCACTGTAAACCACATTTTGCCTACTCCTATATTACGATTTTAAATAAGCTTGAATTAAATTGTAAATGCATCAAAATTTTTACAAAGCATAGATATAATAGTCAATATACAATAAGTTGAAAAACCATTAGAGTGGTTGGACATTGAAGCTCATTTCGCTTCTTAAGTTTTTGATTATTATGAATTTTCATGTCTCCCATACTAACAGAATATTTAAAAGATATATAATTTGTTTATACATTCTAGTTCTGTTATAAATATAGTTAAATGAGCCGAATCAAAAGCATTGAAAAATTAAAAATCGCATAAGTTGAGCGCTATAGATACAACGAGTGAAATAATCCTTCGATTCCGTGAGCTTTTAACAGGCGCTTAATCCTCTCACATATTAACGTATCTATGTGAGGTACATTTAAAATTTAATGCTCTTTCAAATTGATCATAACGAATTTCATCGAGATTACGAGATTTGGGGGAAAAAGCGACGAAAATAGATATTTATTGTGAAATAAGCAAAAAGTCAGAATTCTCTAACTCATTACCGTTGGGCTACATCAAAAGGTTATGTATAAAATTGATAGTAAATTTCATCTTCTTTAACTTTGTATACAACAATCATTTTGATAAAATGCATATTTTCGGAGTCATGCACAAAAACCAAAAAAATGTCGGAAAGTTCGCTGTTTTTACTTTCACTTAGGTATATACGTAGTATATAGTAAGGATAAGTATTGCAATCGTGAAAATTTTTGAATCTGAGTTTTCAACGTAAATACACGTTTTAAGGTTACCCTGAGTCCAAATAACCAAGTCCCGAAAAATGGTCTGTGTGTGTGTGTTAGCAGTCTAGCTCAAAAATGAAAAGTCCTACAAAACTGATATTATGTATTTAAGATTGATATATACCTTAGATGTGACAGCAACTTTTCCTTTAAAATCGGCTAACCGGAAGTGCCACTTTATATCAACGGTGAAAAACATTTTTACAATTATCTCAAAAACGGCTCCAGCGATTTTGATTGAACTCGGTGTATCATTGTACAATTAAGTGGTCTTTAATATCATTTAGGTCTTATCCCCGTTGATGTAATTTTACAGGGCTTAAATGCCCAATGTTCAATTGCGCCGTCCTCTAAAGTACCTTTAATATGGTTTATTTTAAATAATCAACTATCTCTCATTATTAAAAGTTACGAAAAAATGCTAAATATAGCTTTTGGAAGAATTTGATAATTGAATACAGGAAAAAAAAATAAAAGTGCTTATACAGGTCGAAAATGAATCTCAGGTAATACAAGTCAGAAGGTATGCACAAGCATTACAAAATATGTCTTTGGAAAGTGGAGAATTTCAGAAAAAAACAATATCTAATATAGAAATTTGTAGAAGGTAACGAAGAATGACAAAAAAATTATAAATAATAATTTTGCAAACTAATAATATTTAACGTAAACCACATGTTTTCAAGTAAATTAAATGAAATTTACTAACTGAATGTAAACTTTTAAAATATTTTTAAGTTTGAAAAAAGTATTTAAAATCCACCTAATCAACGCAATGACATTGTTTAAAAAACTATTTCATTGTATTTGTGTAAAATATAAAATCATTTCATGGATGTATAAAGCATATGTTTATAACTTTAAATACATTTACTGTAGTTTAATAATTCGAGATCTTATATTATATTTAAATATTTAGGTATCTACCGTTGGTTTATTCAGAAAATCATCATGTAACCTCTTAGAAAATTAAATTTGTGAATATTTTGATGAAATTTCCTTTTTTGACATATTAACAGTATCCACTTAAATTAGTGTGATAACTTTTGACCTGTCTTAACTTTACAATGTCACATTTGTCTTATTAATATTAATTTTAAAAAATACTTTTGTTTTTGTAATTCAGCTTAAAAAAAGTATAAAGCAGAAGTAAACAAAAGAAATGTCTAAAACTAGTTTGAATAATCAATTTCTTTAGTTTTCGAGGCCTCTTGGAACATTCCTCCAAGATTTTCTAAGTTATTATAATCTCCTTTTATTTTAATTTCCATAAAATGTAAAGGAAGGATACTACACTTATACAAATGCTGTTATCTTTTAAGGCAACTATTATAAATGTATTTGATAAAAATCCTTCATGTCTGCCTGTATTTCCCAAAGGCTCCTTCCCACACTTGCAGGTAAGAAAAAATACAAACATGTGCTACCAGAGATACAGCTGCCCATATCCAGTAGCCAAGGTATACATACTCCTACAGTATTCTGTAATGATAAATTTACTAAAAGTAATATATTGTATAATTTATTTAGATAGTTGATAGTGGATTACATTTAATTATATTATATTCAAACTTAAGTATATGCCTTAAGGTCAAATTAATAAAAACCAAAATTAACTTTTCTTTTCAGGAAATTTATGTCTCCCTCTTCAGCAATCTAAAAAATGCACAAATATATTTTAGGTTCAATTTATAAACCAGTCATTATTAAGTAAAATACATAAAACATGAAATTTTAGTTAACACTGACTGGTTTCTAAATTGAACCTAAAATATATTTTTTAGATTGCTGAAGAGTGGAATACAGATTCAGCGAAATGTTCAATAAATAACTAACAAAAGTTAATTTAGATTTTTATAAAAGTGACCTTAAGGCATATACTTTAGTATGAATAGAAATTGAAAAATACAGGTCAAAATTAAAAAAAACTGAAAATATATTATTATAATTATATCATATTAAATAATATATTATTATTATTATTATCATGTTTTAAGTATTTCTCTACTTTGTAGGCATTAATTACTATTAAAAGTTATTTGAATTAAACTATACAAATTTCAACAAATTAAAGAATCTCTCAAGAAATAAATAACACCTATTGCGAAATTACTTACCAAGTTTATAAAAAGAAATAAATTAATCTTTAGTATCAAAATAAGCCAATAGATGGAGCTAAATAGACTATTCTATAACAGTAATATTATTAAGCCACTGTATATTCCATATTGAATGAACATTTATTTTTTGTGTGACTAGTGTGCATCGGGCAAATAATAGAGTGTGACATAAATTTAATTACAAATATAATCTTTATGTAGCCAAATAAAAATGTTTCTTATTGATATCACATTTTACCACAATAGAAAAATGAATCTTTCTGAATTAACAATTTTTACTTGATTTTGAAATATTTTTTGTTTCATTAACTTATGCCTGTTTTTGAATTTAAAATGGCTGTCAAGATTAATTATCTTACCAAAAATTTAAGAAAGTTTTTGGTGGATAAAAGATCAATTGTCATTGAAATTAGATTAAAAAAGACACAGACAAATTTGAAATTAAAAAATCAAAAATGTTTTAATAAAGATTAATAGTTTCACAATATTTCTAATGTTTAACAGTCAGTGTTAATAATTCGATGATGATTTACATTATTAATGCATTTTACATGATTGGTCAACAAATGTAAATACCCTAAACATGCATTTGCACAGATGGTCTAGTTGTTGGTAGTCAGTGAATAGAAAAAATATGCAGGAGTATTTATTTATTCTAACTGGTATGTTTTATCCACTATGTTTGCTGAATTAATGGAAATCAATTATCTATGTTTTCAATGAGTATACCCCTCACTTCTTAGAACTATTTACAAGAAATAATTCTATAAATATAATAGGTTACTCAATAAACTAAATGTTTTATTAGCTACATTGAAAAATATACAGGAATTTTGTTTAAAAAAAAAAATAAAATCAATTTATTGATTCCAAGTTTTGGAGAAGGCTAGAATTTATTGGTCTTAAAATTAAAAAAAAAAAAGCTTATGTGTTGAATGATTGTTAGTGAACCGCTGATCTACCTAAAACAGATATCCAATAATTACTAATAATCTTCTTCATTTTTCTCTTTTAGGCAATCTTCAGGTGTAAGCCAGTCATTGAATTTCAAGATATGTGTACATATCATTATTCATAATATTTTTTTTTACAGTAATCTATTAATATTACATTAACACCTTTCTCCAATGTACACCACATTTCTTTTCCTGGCATTTAGTGTCATGCGAGATCTTTCTTTCCTGCTCAGCTTCTCACTCAGTAAGTGCTATGAAAACAATATTGTCAGAAAAAATAAAAACTTCAGCTGGGATTGTCTTCATGTTTCACTTTCACACAACTATTCATGTCGTTTTCTGCTTCATATAAAAAGAGAGGACTGAGACTGCCACGTTGTTTAACACCCTAAATCATGATAAAGGTACTGGATTCTGTTGTGTTTATCCTAGTTATATCTTCATAGTTATGGAATTTAGATTTTATGGCACTTATTAATACTGAAGGTGCATTTTAATTGATAGAAGTTTTCCTATTATCCTCTAATGTACAGGAACCGAATCAATGTCTGCCTACATACATCATTATGCAACATAAATACTCTTCATTCTCAGCTTTACGTAGTAAAGTCTCAAAGTTTAAAATGTAAAATGCTAAAAATTAGCTGCCTTTGCTTCATCAATCATCAAACAAGTTTATCTATGTGTATTGTCCATATCATAGGACATATTGTCCTCATGTCAACGAGCCTTTAGACACGTATATTTTTATATTTCTTCCTATAATTGAGTCCTGTTAATCCTGTGAAATTAAAAAATTAAACATTAATTTTATTTATTTAGTATGTCCTCATATAGTCTGGGGCTCACCTGTAGATGCAATAAATTAATATAAAAGTGATAGATAATTCATTCCTAACAAACTTCTAGGAGATAAAGCATACCAGTGCTAAATGCCTTAATGTCATACCTGAATGAATTGGT